AATATTTTTGTGTTTCTGCTTAGCCTCCATTGATCTGTCCCTATTTCTCTTGTTTCTGTACATAGCCTCCTTAGTTACTTGTTCATGAGCAGAGTGAAAGGGAATTGAAGAAATTCCAGGATTAATTTATGAAGGTTTAATTATCTTTATCATCAGAATATTATTAAAAAAAAAAAAAGAAAGAAAGAAAAAGAGCCATTGTCTGGGGTTTCCAGGCAGTGCAAGGAAATACTGTACACTTTCTGACACTTTTGATTCTCATCAGCCATGAAATCCAAGTGAAGTAGGGAACTTGTCTGCCTTTGAGCCATATTTTTTTTTTCAGACCCCAGTTCAAGGAATGCTGAAAAACACCAGAACAGTAGAAGTCCAGGTGACAGTGTGGGGGGATCCACCTGCTTCTCCTGGGCTGTCAGCAACCAACAGACTTCATGGAAGCCCAGAAAATGGTCCTTTAATTTTTGGCAGGGAAAATGTGGTATCAGTAATATTTCAGCAATTTCCTGAATTGTGCCCATGAAAACTTAACTGTTGTGAGTAAATTGAAGTCTTGTTATCTGCTCTGCTTAATGTTAGTTTCAGAAAGGGAGCAAATTCAGTCAAAATGAGAAATCTCACTTATACTGGTAGTGGAAGCTGGGCAGGAGTTTTAAAATGAAATAATTTGTCTTGCTATCTATGTCAGAAAAAAATCCCTTTAAAACTACAGGCTTCTTTAATATAAAACAACAGCAACAAAAATTGCCAAAATCACATCAATTTCTCCAGCAAGCAGCTAAGGGTGACAAAACAAGTGACACAGAATATGAGTATTCAGTTCATAGGTGTTTTTCTCAGGGTAGATAACACAGGGAACATGATACAGGGTTGGACAGATTTTTATAATCGCCTCCACCCTCTTGTCGATATATTTATATGTTTCACCATAGGTCATCCTCATTTTCTCTTTGCTGAGTACAGCTGGTGGATTACTATGCAAACCATACCACAGAGAAGACTTTACTCCGTGTTCTAGCATGGGGACTCTCTGGCATTTACAATACACTCTAATTTTACTCTGTATTTCAGTGCTGAATACCACAGGGTAAGTAGCCCAGCAATGAATATAGCCTAATTGAGGAAGCTTAGCTGTTAATGATAAATATCCTTTCTTTGCTTTTAAAATGTGGAATGTTTCTTCACTTTTTAAATGTGGAATGTTATACAGTTGAACCACGTCATTTTAAAAAAGAAATAATTGAATTTTGTGGTTGCCTAATTCTACACTGGCTGTTGTCTGAGAGAGAAACCTGTAACATGGATTTCTAATGGCACATCTGAAGAGGAGAGATCTGGACAAAATAACCCCAGTCATTATAAAACTCTTTGAATATACTGATAGTAATCCGTGGCTTAGGACTTGCATAATGTGTAACAGTTTAAAGATAACACTGAATAGAGACCAAGTGGAAACTTCCCTCAGCTTTCCCTTTCTCAAGGTAGAAGAAATCCAAGAAGAACAATGAAGAAAACTTTCTTATTTTATCTGTTTTTACATATTCTTTTTCCTCCTTATCTTCTAGATCAGTCTGTTTTAGAGTTGCTTGCTGCATTTCATTGCATCATTTCATGATGAATTAATTGTGATATTTGCTCCTGATGCCCCTAGTTTTCTGAATGTCATTGCTTGGATTTTGAGCAGTGTGGACATTCATTGTGATGCATTCACTTAAGGACAGACTCTCTAGACTGTGTCAAGTACAGTAAGAATAATTAAGGAGAGGGCACCACAGAATTTGGAACTGAAACCTGCCACCTGAAATTATGCACCACAGACAGAGTATGTCAAGAGCCACTGTTGTAGCCTTGCAGTCATGGAAATCCCTTCTCTATGCAAAACACCCCAAAAGCAGAACCATTTATTCTGTGATATGTGGTGGGATTTTGGCCTTGTGTCAACTTATCTCTGCAGGACTTTGTAACACACAAGGACTGTGCATTTGTAACTGCTTTCTTTTTTTTTTGCAGCATTTTCAGGGTAAATCAGAAGAGCTGAATGAAATGAAAGTTTTGTGTCATGGGAGATTTGCAGCAGTTAAAGGAAATATGTAGCCTTCCAGCAAATTACACTTACACAGTACACTATCTTACTGGCATTTACACACTTTGCTTTGAAACAGTGGGGATAATAATGACATGAGCAAGTTAATAGAAAAGTGTTTGATATTATCCTGATATTGTCTGAGCTGTGCTATATCCATCCATCTCTTCCATAGCTCCCTGTACCTAGTAGAACTCCTCTCATTTCAGTTCAGTGGAATACAGAGCAGAGAATCCTTCCACGCTAGATGAAGTGAACATATCCCACCTTTGGCTCACTCTCAGAGCTTTGTCAGGAAGAAGTTCCATATGGGAAGAGAAAGTCAGATATGGATCAAACTCAGGGTCTATTCAGTTATTCAGTGAAACACCCAAAGGCAAAAGTTGAGGTCCCAATATGCTTTCTTAAACAGTTTTTGAGTCACTAATTCCACAAGGGCTTCACTCTGTTGCTTTTCTTGGCAGGATCAAGCAAAGGCCAACTGGTGGTTTGAGAACATGGGATCCTGAAACAGGTAACTGCATGTCATTAGTGGTATTAACATCCAATTTTGAACATACTAGCTCCTCTTCCTCACTTTAATGTGTTGTATTTCAGCTTACCTCACCAGATGTGATTTCAACAATAACTCAAGACCATTTTGTGACTGGACCCAGCCCTGCAGTATCAACCAGGGGGTGTGGATACGGACAAAGCATGACACTCCGACTGATGGAACAGGTCCTGATGGAGACTATCCTGATGGAAGTAAGTGCTTGGTTGTGGCATGGCTGTTTGTTTTGTTGTTTTTTTTTTTTTGAAGAAAGCTTGACTTACCTTTATCATTTCTTTGGAAGAGAAAAAAGATTCTTAAAGATCTTGAAATGTGTTGGTTTCGTTTCATGCTGACACCTGTTTATGACTTTTCACCATATCACTTAAGAGTAAATTAAATTGGGTTGCCTATCATAGATTGGATATCTTTATCAGTGCATGGAAGTAGAAGGAAGCTAATTATATCACGTTAAGACCTAATAGAGAATGTAGTGCCATGTGACAGACCATTTTTCAAGACAGGGTTTGTGGCCAAATTACACTGATATCAGTTAATGGCAACAAATTTAATGATCACTGTGCTGGCCCTAGATAAAGTTCATGCTGGAAAAGTGTTACAAAATCAAGTCTGAAATTAAAGAATATATTTTAAAAGTCTGTCCTCGGCTACCTATGATTTTAAAACTGGAGTCTAACATGGTCATATTATCAAACAAATGCTCCATGGCTCCATCTCTATGTGCTTGAACCACTATCCTTGCACTAGAATATCCATTTATGAGGATCAGTTTGCAGTCATCCTGCTTGTAATTATCCCAAGAATGAAATGTCAGCTACTGTCAGAGTCAGCAAGCGGATTAGAATGGTATTAGTTCGGATTTTTGCTAAATAATTTTCTGAATTTTTAGTATTTAATAATAACAATTAAAAATGCCTGTTGGAAGAAGAAATTGAATGCTTTTAATTTGGATTAACACAAATAATAATGTTTTACTTTTTTAATTGACAGAGACCTTATCACTTTAAATAGTACTTAGATTTTCTTGCCAGCTTTAATATATGACTGAATGTGTGGACCTATACTTTACCATATAGAAGTGGTCATTCATTTGTTTTTGATTCCTTTCCATAGTCAGATGGGAAAAACTTGACTCCAGCTGCACTGGGGAAATGTAGTTTTGATCTTAGTCTACGTGAAGCAAAATATTTCAAGCCTAAGACCAATCAGACTAAAGCATTTCAAATCCTAAAAGAAACATTGCAAGTTTCTGAATTTTAAAAAAATTCCTTCCTTTTCATAATGTCAAATATAAATACTTTGAATAAAATATAAGCATTACTTTCTATTTCTTAAATTTTGAGACAAAACCAAATGCTGACAGTTTGGAATTTTTCCTTGTGCCAGGGATTTACTTATCTTGAAACCAAAATCATTAGAGAAAAAAAAAGTTATCCCACATGGGAAGGTGTATAGCAGATTACATTCTTTTCCTTTGAGGAAAGCAGAAACTGAACCTGGATCAGTGTGGCACTGTGTCTGGAGGCGCTGTCTCTCGAAAGAGTCCTGCATCTTTAATTGTGATCCCAAAATAAGTGTTCATATGAGATGAAATGTATTTGCTTTGCTCTCAGGCTCACATTCTACTTTGGATAAGTATATGGGGTTAACCATTGCAACATGAAGTCCAAACACCCTCCACTTTGCTTCTTTGCACTGATAATGATGCCCTTGATTTCTTCCAGAGTTGGGCTGTACTTCAATTTTAGACAACATCTAACAAATTAGGAAGATTCAACTGTATTTTATTTTTTTTTCACCCTGCAGAAGGTTATTTCATCTACCAAGAAGCAAGTAATCTGATCCCGTTCGACATCAACAGGCTGGAAAGCCCAGAGACTGTTGTTTCTGAAAAAATATGCATCGACTTCTGGTACTATATGTTTGGATCAGAGGAGATGAATGAGCTGAGAGTGCTTATCCAAGATGGCACACAGGAGTCTGTGATATGGCATCGGAAGGGAAACCAGAGCTCTTTTTGGAACTATGGTGCCATCACTCACACTTTCCCAACACAGAGAAAGATAAAGGTAATATATTTTCAAAGTGAATTTCTTTGTACAGTGTCAGTATTTGTTCTCCATTTGCAGGTTGCAAAATACTGTGCATGTAAGCTAAAAATATAACCAAGATTTTGTGAATATAATGGCCTCATGATTTGTGTCAATGAACTAAGAGGAGAAACAAACAACCACCTTGTTTTAATAGTGCTGTTAGTTAGCGGATAAAATTTAATTTAGTTTTCTCTCTTTGTCCTTCCTTCCCTCATTATTTTTATCATGAAATCAAGGACTTTAGATGTCTTAATTAAATGTAAGTTTGTCGGCTATGAGTTTGAAGGTTTGAACTTTGGGATGCTGCCTACACTGGACTCCTCTGTAGAATTCAGACAACTAATTCTCATAAATCATTTAGAAGTCAGCAAAAGAGAGGACAATGTTTCTTGCAGTCCTTACCTTATTACAGAATATATATTTTAGGCTTCTGAGGGAAGTTAGAAAAACTGTTATAACCTCAGCTGACTTGATACCTTTAGCAATAAACCAGAGAGTTTATTTTGAAAAAAATGCTAAGAGAAATAGTCTTGTGTTTGCCTGAGCAACTCTGATTCGGTGATCACTCTGTGTCCTGCCTAGGTAATTTTTGAGGCTGTCCGAGGACTAACAGAGTATGGGGATACAGCACTGGACAATGTGAGAGTGAGGGATGGATCCTGTGGTAAGTTTGTGTTTGCACCTGAGTGTGTCCTGCTTCTTCATCTCTGTTTAAGCTGTTGACCATTACTCTATTCCATATACAATGCAGCAACTCCTCAGAACCTCGAACCACAAAAGAGAAATCGCAAAAAACTTTACAGCTCACTTCGTTTGAGTGCTATGTGTTTCGCTGTAGTTTCTTCCTAATTCTTTCCTCATCACCTCAAATGTCCAAAATAAGCTACCCCCCTTTGTCTGCACATGTGACCTTTTTCACAAGGTCCAGCAAAGTTTACTTCACTTTTAAGTCTGAAGTGCATCTCTAAACCCAGAGCAGGCTATGCACACTGAATTTGGATTCCACATTAAATACACTGATAAGCATTTTACAGCAAATATCAGTTCGTACAAACTCGTCAAATACACAGTACAGCCATATGTCACAAAAGGATAACAGTGAGTCAGTAACACCAAGTTACACCGTCAGCTTTAACTACGAATCAGCAATTTGAGCTTGATCTCTGACCCCTTAACAAATCAGCCAAGACTGGCACAAGCTGTGGGTGACTGGGATCCACTTTTACTGACAAGCACACAATACTTGCAAAATGTGAATTGAACAAGAAATTCGCAGAAAAACTTACAGAAAGTGTCATTTGGTCTTAATAGATCTTCTTCTCTGCGAAATACTACTCATTTAATGACATGGGATGTTTCAAATTTACACTACCCAAGACAAAGTTTTCCATTCAGGTCCATACCCTGAGAACATATGATTTTATTTAAAATGCCATGAACAAGACTTGGAGCCTTCTTTTGTTTGAGGGCTAGGGAGAACCAGTTCTTCATTTTTCCAGGTGTATTAGCACATGATTCAGCCACCGGATGGTGCACAAACATAACTCCAAGAGACAAGAGCTTCTCTGTTCATCTCGCTATCAGATCTGCCAACACTTGCTGCCAGCAGGACCTTCATGTGTCTTAACATACACCAGAGGGAGTCACATACCCGATTGTAAATACACTTCCAGCTCTAGAGTGGCCATCTGAGCTCAGTTGTTGATCAAGCTAACAATTTGAGCTTTCCTTAGTGCTCAAAAAACCCACATAGCCCCAATTTTAAAAATAGGCCGTTCTACTTACTTCACTGAAAAACTTCTAACTTTATGGTGGTGAAGAGTAAGTGAAAACTAATGTATGTTAGCATGTAAGTAGTGTTCACCCTGTAATGTTAAAGCTCATTGTATTACCTTGTCTTTTCCACTAACAGAAGCTGGCCCTACACCTGTACCACCAACACCTACACCAACAGAGCCTACACCACCACCAGTGACAGGTAATTTTAGACAACCTCATATGCTAGTTAATGGTTTGTAGGACACCTGCATTTTTACCACCACCACTTTGCTTCAGTTAATTTCTATAGGTATCTTTCTTTGACACTGCCTTATGCCTTACAAATCTGCCTTTCTGTTTCAGTTCTTCCAGATGTAATCTATACAATCAGGATGATTGTGTTTTCCCAGTACAAAATGAAGTGGGATTTCTGGATGTATTCATGTGTTAATGAGAACATATTCCTTTTTCCTGTCTCCAGAAGCAATTTGCAGTATACATGGAGACCCTCACTACCACACATTTGACAAGCAGCTACACAGCTTCATGGGCACCTGCACCTACACCCTCTCCAAGCTGTGCGAGAGCAACAGCTCCCTGCCCTACTTCAACGTGGAAGCAGCCAACGAGCACAGGGGGAGCAACACTCGTGTGTCCTACGTCCGATACGTGGATGTCGATGTGGCTGACCAGCGGATAAGGCTGGGGCAGGGTGGAGTGGTGACGGTAAGCTCGAGGGGAGAGCCTGTGGGGCTGTGCAAGAGGAAAGAGCTGTGCCAAATGGGTTGCTTCAATCCTGTCTTGCTTCCTGTCCCTCCAGGTGAATGGAGTGGCAGAGATCCTGCCTTGCAGCCCATCCGCAGGTGTGCAGGTCTTGTCCAGTGGGTTCTACACTATGGTCATGACAGACTTTGGCTTGAGAGTGAAGTTTGATGGGGTCCATCGGGTGGAGGTGACACTTCCAAGCACCTTTGGGCAGAAGGTTTGTGGCATGTGTGGGAACTACAACGGGATGGCAGCAGATGACTTCCTGAACCCGGAAGGGATGCTGGAGCCAGACTCTACCAGCCTGGGCAACAGCTGGGAGGTGTCCAAAAACAGCAGGTGGGTGTGCCTCCCCAGCAGGTCTGGGGACACGTCAGGCAAGGGGAGGAAGAGGCACCAGCAGAAGCCCCGAGATGACCCAGGGGTCCTTCTCCCTGTCTTTCCACAGCTGCTCAGCCGGATCACTCCCCACCCCAGCCTGCAATGACACGGACAAGCAGGTGATCGCCAGCAGCCACTTCTGTGGGCTCCTCATTGACACCAGTGGCCCCTTTCAGATCTGCCACGCTGTGCTGAGCCCCAGCAGTTACTTTGAGACCTGCTCGTATGACCTGTGTGAGCTGGGGCTGGACCAGGAGACCCTGTGCAAGAGCTTGCAGTCCTATGCAGATGCCTGTCAGGCCCTTGGGGTCCAGATACCCGTGTGGAGGAACACAACCTTCTGCCGTAAGTCCACACGTGGTAGCACAGATCGTTTTTCTCAGGAAAACGCAGGACAGGAAGGAAAGAGAGAGGCAGAGAAATATTCTCACTGTGAGCTGAGGGGATTTACAGGGAGTTGTCTGTATTAAAGGCACCATCACATTTGCTGTTTCATTTGATCGGGTAGGACTGAGAACACACATGGAGCCAAGCAGACCACAGGGAAAATGGAGACCATTACTTTTTCAAAGGGGAAAATACCTCAAAAGAAGTGTTGAGTTATGTTCTGCAAGTAATTGCCGCGTCTTCTGTTTCTGCAGCGATCACCTGTCCGGCCAACAGTCACTATGAGCCCTGTGCTACTGCCTGCCCTGCCACCTGTTTTGACCCAATGGCTCCAGTCACCTGCAGCCTGCCATGCGTGGAGGGCTGTGTGTGTGACAGCGGGTACCTCCTCTACCACGACCGATGTGTGCCCAGCCAGCAGTGCGGGTGTTGGTACAACGGGCAGCACTACCCCGTGGGCTCCGAGTTCTGGACGGACAACAGCTGCTCCTCCAAGTGCATGTGTCCCGCACGGGGAAGCAAAGTCCAGTGTTTCGAAGCCTCATGCCCTGTGGGACAGTACTGCGGGGTGCAGGGTGGGAAACCCGTGTGCCTCGAACACTCCTACGGCATCTGTCACGTCCACGGGGACCCTCACTACAACACCTTTGACAAGGTGACGCACAACTTCATGGGCAACTGCACCTACACCCTGGCCAAAGTGTGCTCCAACACCACCTCCCTGCCCTACTTCAATGTGGAGGCCAAGAACGAGCATCGCGGCAACAGCAGGGTGTCCTATGTGCGCGAAGTGCTGGTTGAGGTGTACGGACAGCGCATTGCCATCCTCAAGCAGGAGAAGAGCCAAGTGCTGGTAGGCAGCGGGGCTGGCACGGGCGTGGTGTGGGTACAAGGCAGGGCTGGCTGTTCTTGGCAGGGCCTGGCATGTACCAGCTGTCTCCATTGTTCCAGGCCTGGGGGGGTTCCCCTGAAGCCACTGGGCCCCTTTGTTTTTTCCTTCCAGAGGGGTTGGAGGAGGAAGAGGCAACCAAGCAATGTGCTTTGTGTTGAGCAGAGGCCCCTGCAGAGCACAGGACCCAGACACGGCTCTGTGGGCCCCAGGGGTGTGGGGTGTGAGGGCATCCCAGGCTGCTGTTTGCCGTGCCTGGCCTGGCAGCTGCTTTCCCCAGGCAGGAGACCCCGGGGAGGCCAGGGACAAGTCCAGGGCCCATGGTGCTGTGTCTGCCCTAGGTGAACGGCGTGCGCCAGACCCTGCCGGTGAGGGCAGCGGGAGGTGCGATCACGGTGAGCAAGAGCGGCCGCTACGTCGTCCTGGAGACAGACTTCAGCCTCACAGTGTCCTACGACACTGACCACTCGGTGGAGGTGAAGGTGCCCACCACCTACTTCAACCTGACCTGTGGCATGTGCGGGAACTTCAACAACCGGAGAGACGACGAATACATGATGCCCAATGGGCAGCAAGCCGCAGACTCCAATGCACTGGGGGAGAGCTGGCAGGTCCCAGACAGTGACCCCTCTTGCGGTGTCCCCGTCCCCTCCCCACCTTGCAGTGCAGAGGAGGAGGAGCTCTACAAGTCAGACCGCTTCTGTGGCATACTGACCAGCACGCCCAGCTCTTTTGAGTTGTGCCACAGTGTGATCAACCCCCAGAGCTATTTTGACACCTGCCTCTACGACCTTTGTGCCCTGAATGGTGGCCAGGAGTTTCTGTGTGCTGCTCTGGAGGCCTACGCTGACGCGTGCCAGGCAGCCGGCGTGACTCTTCTGCCCTGGAGGAATGCTACCTTCTGCCGTGAGTTTCCATAGTGACATGAGTCTTTCAATAGCTTTGTTGTTGTCTTAAGAGGTTAATTTTTGCCAATAATTGACACAGCTTAAATATCTTAAATTCTTCACATAATTACAACAAAATATTGAGAAATAAAGTCCTGCAAAAGTCTTGTTTTTTGCCAGAGAACAGAGGAGAATTTTGTTCAATATCTCAAGAATCTTTATCAAACCAGTAAGCAGTATGCCTCTGTTAATGTGAAATCACCTCTGAGTTCTAGATGATGTTTTGCCTTGAATCAGCTTGCTAATTTCCAGGCTACATCTAATCAATTTAGCAATCCCTGTACTCATGGAAATGTATTGTCTGTGTACAAGATCTGGTGTAGAGAGGCAAAGTTTTATTTGGATTTGGAGATACTTAATATGCAGGATATATTGTTAGACATTCATGCTTTTTTTTCCATGTGGAATATTTACTATATTACTTTCTGATATCGAATAGGAGTAGAACTTCAGGCTTCAAAAAACCCGTACAGTTGTCATTAGGGCAAAACAATCACATTATTGAATAGTGGTTTCCTGTGAGTTGTGATTGTTAATTCAGTGCCTTTTATTGTTTCTCAGCTGTTGCATGCCCTCCCAACAGTCATTACAACCCATGCACCAGTGCTTGTCCAGCAACCTGCACTGATCCTCTTGCATCTAAGAACTGCAGCAAACCTTGTGTAGAAGGATGTGAATGCAACAATGGTTTTGTCATCAGCGGGGGACAGTGTGTGTCCATGAGCAACTGTGGCTGCCTTCAGAATGACAAATATTATGAGGTTTGTTCTGGTACATATTCCTGGGGCTTGTTTCACAGTTCAACATTGCCATTAACTCTTCTAATTTGTATTTATTTGAATTTCTCTAACAGAAAGGAGAATCTTTTTGGCAACCAGACTGTGTAGGCCAATGTGTATGTGCTGGAAATGGGACTGTAGTTTGCAATTCAGACACGTGTGAAGTAAGTGAAGTTTGCAAGGTACAGAATGGACTCTTGGGATGTTACCCATTGAATCCCAGCACCTGCCACATTTTTGGGGATCCACATTATATAACCTTTGATGGAAGACTGTACCATTTCCAAGGAGACTGCAATTATACTGTTGTTGAGAGATGCACAAATTCTTCTGAAAAGTTCTCAGTGACTACCAGAAATGAACATAGAGGAAACCCAAACTGGACAGCCTTGAACTCAGTTTCTGTCACACTGGAAAACCTTCACATTGTTTTGAAGAAAAATAGAGAGACCTATGTAAGTGTTCTACTTTTAGCATAAACAATCCATCACTATGCACTTTACATTTCTGCCCAAAAGAACTGAATCAGCCCTGTCTGATTTATTCACCTCCAAGACTGCACATGCTAAAAGTCACAGAATTTTTTTTTCCCAAAAAGGCAGAAATCAGCATAGCTTCTTTTTGTCTATTCAGATATTTTCTAAATGAGCTTGTAGGATGAAACAGCTTCATCCATGACTTCATCTATAATAGAAAGCTTTTACTGGACTAAGTCTCAAAGATTTAGCTTTAAATTAACTATTCCAAGTATTGCTTTGTGTGTAGTTGTGACAGCACAAAGCTAAACTTGTGCTACAAGGCACTATTGAAGGTAGAAAATAAGTGTATACTGCTTTAGTCTCTGCTTAACCTCAAAATTCTGTTATCTCCATTGTTCACTAGAATAAGGCTGACTCGGTGGAGAAAACTATAGTGCTGGCAGTGCAGACCTCCCCTTTGTTCCTGGGAGCTTTATTGATTTGATTTTACTGGATTTTGTGGGTTTTGTTTTCCTTAGGTGGATGGAGTTCAGGTTAAACTTCCTGTGGATTTGAACCATGGAGCCAGAGTAGCCACAAAAGGACACTACGTGGTCGTTGATACCTCTCTAGGGATCCAGGTTAAGTTTGATGGTGACCAGGAGCTTTTCATTCTGGTTGATGAAAGTCTCAAAGGACAGCTGTGTGGTCTCTGTGGAACATTCAATGACAACCAACTAGATGACTTTTTAAACCCGGATAAAGTCCTAGAACAGGATCCAAATAAATTTGGTGACAGCTGGATAGTGAAGGATGACAACAGGACGTAAGTATCAGATGATACTTTAGGAAACAGCAAAGTGCCTGAAACATAAATCATGGAGTTATAGGTCTAATATACATCGCTTACATTCCATAATAACCCTTCTTTGATATTACTGGTTTGCTATTGTTTTCACCTTTGAATGACTCCAGTTTTCAACAGAAAATATTGACATTTTAAAATCACCCTTCAGAGCTTTTCCACATGAGCTTTATAGATTTTACTTGAGATTGGGCTCCTTTTTATGCATATAACTTGAATTTTTCCTTACTTTCTTATCCTAAAATGTCTCCTTTATATTCCTCCCTCTTGCTATAAGAAGTCTAAATATATCTTAGATTCAGATCGCAAGATAACTGCACCTTGCTTAACATAGGCGAGGGGCATTTATCTGTCTATTAATGCTTTCACATACAAATTACTGCCCTTACTATACGCAATAAAGAATCAAAATTATCTTGCTTGTGTTGGATAGCTAATTTGTTGGTTTCTTCTGGACTTCATTTTATGGATAGACAGCCATATATTGCAAATTCACTATTATATTCTTAATGGGGTATTATGAGTTAAGTTGTAATATTTCTCACTTTTGGGATTGACACACTAAAGATGACTATACACAGGAAATCTGCAGAATTTGGCATAGGATTCTATTGTAGTTGAGATATGCCTTGCAGGATATAAAAAAATACGAAGATTTATTCTATAACCACTCTGCTGTGTACTTTCCATGCAGGTGTAATGCAGTTTCAGTTGTGCCGCCTGCTTGTGACACAGCAAAAGAGAAAGAATATGAAGAACTCTGCAAAATTGTTTTGCAAAATAGTGGACCTTTTCAGGCCTGCCATTGGCACATTCCCCCACAGCTGTACTTCGAGAGCTGCGTCTATGATCTGTGTGCCACAGAGGCGGATTCTGACCAGTTCTGCAAGATTTTAGAGGCATATGCTGCTGCCTGTGAACTTGGAGGTGTAAATCTGGGTGAATGGAGGAAAGATACCATCTGCAGTAAGTCATTAGGTCATTTAGCAAATAACCATCCAATTAAGTCCTTATACTACAAATATAAATTCAAATGCCTGAGAAGTTGAACAGAATTTCAGAAATGGGGATTCAATGAAACACAGGAAGCTTTCAAATGCTTAGCATCTCTGTAAATTTGGCTTCTAATCTAAGCTTCTAATGGGCTTCCTGTATTCGCTTTAGAACATGATGTCTGAACACTTTTGACCCAAGACTATTTATCAAAACTGGGTTGGGAGAGACAACATACACTGTCAGCTAAGTGCTCAGCCAGGGACAATTGAACATTTGTCTAACAAATCACCGCTTTGGCTTTAATAAAATATTTTATCTTTTTGAGAAGTGTTAACATATCACTTACCCAAACTCTCTACAGCTCCGAATTTTCACCAAGCATAAAAAAGGGCTTTAAAACTACAAAAAAGAATCCTGCAGCTTGAGATCCATGCAGCCTTAGGTCCTTCTTATCTAGGCAGATGAGTTAACACAGAGGTAAGGCTAGAGGCACGAAATTCATAGAATCATAGAACAGTTTGGGTTGGAAGGGACCTTTAAAGGTCATCTAGTTCAACCTCCCTGCAACAAGCAGGGATGTCTCCAACTAGACAAGGTTACTCAAAATCCAACCTGACCATGAATATTTCCACTGTTGCACCATCCTCATTGTAAAAAATTTCTTCCTTGTATCTTTAAATTGCTTTTTCTAGAACCTCCAGAGGTGATTACCAAAGCGAGCAGAAATGACAGCATAAGTATGAGGCTATTACATGAAAAGCCATTCTGTAGTCTCTTTCGAATTCCAAAACAATAGTTCTTATACCAGTTTATGAGCAGTAAAAAGAAATGTCAGACAATTCTCATTATGAAGTCTAGATTTCCACCTAAAAAGGATTTTGAGAGCCAGCTGAATACTACTATGCCAAATAGGACATCTTTGAGCAATTTGCAATGACAAAGGATTGTGACTGACACAGTGTAAAAATATAGGATCTTAATGTATTATGATGACAACTGAGGAAGGGATTTGTAAAAAACCACACATTCTCAGACACTTAAAATTTCATGTTTTTTAGTCAATTTTTCAGTACTAGTCACTTCTACTCATTTCATTATAACATCTTCAAATGTTTCATGAATACGTGTTCATTAGACCTAGAAGGGCATTGTCAGAACAATTGTCAGAACATAAGCTGGTCAAGGAGGATTCATTTCTTTATATCATTCTCTCTTTTGTAGAAATGACTCCAACCACACCAGGCACCACCATCACCACACCTTCAGAAGAGACACCCACGTCAACACCCACATCAACACCCATGCCAGGCACAGGTGAGTACAGACCAGTCATGGGTCAGATGCTCTTTGAGCAAGGTGATCTGGGGAGAAGAGGCAGCAGGAGGTGCTCAACTAAACTTGCCCTCTGGTCTTTCCACTGTCAGAGACCTGTGTGGTGGAAGGAGACCCTCACTACCACACATTCGACAAGCAGCTACACAGCTTCATGGGCACCTGCACCTACACCCTCTCCAAGCTGTGCGAGAGCAACAGCTCCCTGCCCTACTTCAACGTGGAAGCAGCCAACGAGCACAGGGGGAGCAACACTCGTGTGTCCTACGTCCGATACGTGGATGTCGATGTGGCTGACCAGCGGATAAGGCTGGGGCAGGGTGGAGTGGTGACGGTAAGCTCGAGGGGAGAGCCTGTGGGGCTGTGCAAGAGGAAAGAGCTGTGCCAAATGGGTTGCTTCAATCCTGTCTTGCTTCCTGTCCCTCCAGGTGAATGGAGTGGCAGAGATCCTGCCTTGCAGCCCATCCGCAGGTGTGCAGGTCTTGTCCAGTGGGTTCTACACTATGGTCATGACAGACTTTGGCTTGAGAGTGAAGTTTGATGGGGTCCATCGGGTGGAGGTGACACTTCCAAGCACCTTTGAGCAGAAGGTTTGTGGCATGTGTGGGAACTACAACGGGATGGCAGCAGATGACTTCCTGAACCCGGAAGGGATGCTGGAGCCAGACTCTACCAGCCTGGGCAACAGCTGGGAGGTGTCCAAAAACAGCAGGTGGGTGTGCCTCCCCAGCAGGTCTGGGGACACGTCAGGCAAGGGGAGGAAGAGGCACCAGCAGAAGCCCCGAGATGACCCAGGGGCCCTTCTCCCTGTCTTTCCACAGCTGCTCAGCCGGATCACTCCCCACCCCAGCCTGCAATGACACGGACAAGCAGGTGATCGCCAGCAGCCACTTCTGTGGGCTCCTCATTGACACCAGTGGCCCCTTTCAGATCTGCCACGCTGTGCTGAGCCCCAGCAGTTACTTTGAGACCTGCTCGTATGACCTGTGTGAGCTGGGGCTGGACCGGGAGACCCTGTGCAAGAGCTTGCAGTCCTATGCGGATGCCTGTCAGGCCCTTGGGGTCCAGATACCCGTGTGGAGGAACACAACCTTCTGCCGTAAGTCCACACGTGGTAGCACAGATCGTTACTCTCGGGAAAACGCAGGACAGGAAGGAAAGAGAGAGGCAGAGAAATATTCTCACTGTGAGCTGAGGGGATTTACAGGGAGTTGTCTGTATTAGAGGCACCATCACATTTGCTGTTTCATTTGATCGGGTAGGACTGAGAACACACATGGAGCCAAGCAGACCACAGGGAAAATGGAGACCATTACTTTTTCAAAGGGGAAAATACCTCAAAAGAAGTGTTGAGTTATGTTCTGCAAGTAATTGCCGCGTCTTCTGTTTCTGCAGCGATCACCTGTCCGGCCAACAGTCACTATGAGCCCTGTGCTACTGCCTGCCCTGCCACCTGTTTTGACCCAATGGCTCCAGTCACCTGCAGCCTGCCATGCGTGGAGGGCTGTGTGTGTGACAGCGGGTACCTGCTCTACCACGACCGATGTGTGCCCAGCCAGCAGTGCGGGTGTTGGTACAACGGGCAGCACTACCCCGTGGGCTCCGAGTTCTGGACGGACAACAGCTGCTCCTCCAAGTGCACGTGTCCCGCACGGGGAAGCAAAGTCCAGTGTTTCGAAGCCTCATGCCCTGTGGGACAGTACTGCGGGGTGCAGGGTGGGAAACCCGTGTGCCTCGAACACTCCTACGGCATCTGTCACGTCCACGGGGACCCTCACTACAACACCTTTGACAAGGTGACGCACAACTTCATGGGCAACTGCACCTACACCCTGGCCAAAGTGTGCTCCAACACCACCTCCCTGCCCTACTTCAATGTGGAGGCCAAGAACGAGCATCGCGGCAACAGCAGGGTGTCCTACGTGCGCGAAGTGCTGGTTGAGGTGTACGGACAGCGCATTGCCATCCTCAAGCAGGAGAAGAGCCAAGTGCTGGTAGGCAGCGGGGCTGGCACGGGCGTGGTGTGGGTACAAGGCAGGGCTGGCTGTTCTTGGCAGGGCCTGGCATGTACCAGCTGTCTCCATTGTTCCAGGCCTGGGGGGGTTCCCCTGAAGCCACTGGGCCCCTTTGTTTTTTCCTTCCAGAGGGGTTGGAGGAGGAAGAGGCAACCAAGCAATGTGCTCTGTGTTGAGCAGAGGCCCCTGCAGAGCACAGGACCCAGACACGGCTCTGTGGGCCCCAGGGGTGTGGGGTGTGAGGGCATCCCAGGCAGCTGTTTGCTGTGCCTGGCCTGGCAGCTGCTTTCCCCAGGCAGGAGACCCCGGGGAGGCCAGGGACAAGTCCAGGGCCCATGGTGCTGTGTCTGCCCTAGGTGAACGGCGTGCGCCAGACCCTGCCGGTGAGGGCAGCGGGAGGTGCGATCACGGTGAGCAAGAGCGGCCGCTACGTCGTCCTGGAGACAGACTTCAGCCTCACAGTGTCCTATGACACTGACCACTCGGTGGAGGTGAAGGTGCCCACCACCTACTTCAACCTGACCTGTGGCATGTGCGGGAACTTCAACAACCGGAGAGACGACGAATACATGATGCCCAATGGGCAGCAAGCCGCAGACTCCAATGCGCTGGGGGAGAGCTGGCAGGTCCCAGACAGTGATCCCTCTTGCGGTGTCCCCGTCCCCTCCCCACCTTGCAGTGCAGAGGAGGAGGAGCTCTACAAGTCGGATCGCTTCTGTGGCATACTGACCAGCACGCCCAGCTCTTTTGAGTTGTGCCACAGTGTGATCAACCCCCAGAGCTATTTTGACACCTGCCTCTACGACCTTTGTGCCCTGAATGGTGGCCAGGAGTTTCTGTGTGCTGCTCTGGAGGCCTACGCTGACGCGTGCCAGGCAGCCGGCGTGACTCTTCTGCCCTGGAGGAATGCTACCTTCTGCCGTGAGTACCTGCCTTGCCCTTGCCAGAAGGGAAATGTGCCGCTCCCCTTGCCCAGAACCTCTGGCCAAAGACGGTCTTTGGCCTTTCCCCTCCCAGAAGGCCTTCCTTGCTTGAAGTCTTGCTGGTCCTAATTGTCCCCTCCCCATTGCAGCCCTGAAGTGTCCTTCCAACAGCTCCTATGACCCTTGCATGACCGGCTGTCCTGCCACCTGTGTTGACCAACAAGCCCCACAGAACTGCTCCAAGCCCTGCGTGGAGGGCTGTGCATGTACCTCTGGCTTCCTCCTCAGCGGAGACACCTGTGTGCCCGAGGCCCAGTGTGGCTGCCTCTTTGAGGACAACTACTACAGCGTGAGTGAAAGCCCTGCCCTGGTTTGCACCCCTCCCAGGGACTCCTTTCCCTCAATTTTCATGCATCTTACACTGATATTTGGCGTTTACCTGCCTGCAGGAAGGCGAGTACTTCGTGAACGAGAATTGCACTCGCCGGTGCCGGTGTGAAGCCAATGGCCAGATGGTTTGCTCTGCCTTGTCCTGTGGCGAGGAGGAGGTCTGCAAGATCCAGAACGGCCAGAGGGGCTGTTACCCAGCCAGCACTGCGCTCTGCCACATCTACGGTGACCCGCATTACAGCACCTTCGATGGGAAGCTTCACCACTTCCAGGGCTCCTGCAACTACACCGTTGTGACAGGCTGTGACAACTCCTCCATCGGGTTCAGTGTCACCACCCGCAATGAACATCGTGGCAGCCAGAGCTGGACAGCTCTGAACTCTGTGGCACTGTCCCTGGAAGGCCTCCACGTTGCACTGCGCGAGCGCAAGGCCGTCTACGTAAGCCCCTCACTTTTACACCTGGGAACCACAGATGCACTAAGCACCCCTAAATACCACTCTGTCCCCAGGGAGAGCTTGCTATTCCCTCAGCCTGCTGTGCACTCGCAGAAGAGCCTGGCGAGGCTCTGAGTGAGGCAGATGTGGCTGCTTGTGCAGCCGCAGATTTTGGGCTGGTTTCCTGACTTTTGGGTGGGCCGTGTGTAGAGCTGCTAGTGTCCTCGTAGGCCTGGGCAGGGTTTCTCATGCCATCAGTGCTTCTGACTCACTGGGCCCTGGCACCACCCCAGTGAGGAACAGGGACCTCTCAGCAGAGGGCACCTCTTTATGCTTCCCTCTTTCCCCCTACTCCAGGTCAACGGTGCTCTGGTCTCCCTGCCTGCTTCTCCTGCCCCCGGTGTGACCATTTCCCTGAGCGGCTCCTACGTGCATGTTTCCACCAAGCTGGGCCTGCAGCTGCAGTTCAACGGGGACCACGAGCTCCTCGTGAAGGTGTCTGAGAAGCACAAGGGCAAGCTCTGTGGGCTGTGTGGGACGTACACTGGGAGCCAGCAGGACGACTTCATGCGCCCCGATGGAGTTGTCGTGCCCGACTTCAATGACTTTGGAGCCAGCTGGATGGTGCCGGATGATGAGTGGCCGTGAGTCCCTGATCTATCCTGCAGATGAAGGACAAGAGGGAGTTTGGGAGAGGGGAGCTATGAGGGCCATCAGGAGGAAGGGTTGGTGATGGCAGGCATGGGCCAAGGGAGAAGAGGCAGTTTCTTGACCTCCGGGAGGGTGGTCCAGGGCCTGGGCATGACACTTTTCCCAAGTTGTTGGGATCACAACAGCCTGAGGTATTTTCTTCTGTCCACCTAATTCCAGGGGTGGGACTGGTGACTGTGGGCCATGCGTTCCACCCTTGCAAGCGACGCCATTGGTGCCTGTCTTAGGGGGGGATCTGGGCTCCGGAAGCTGAGGTTTTGTCTGGGGAGCAGGTGAGGAAATGGTGTGGCTGCGGTGAGCTCAGGGCTGTCTGTCTGCTGTGTAGGTGTGACCCAGCCATCAGCCCGCCTGTGTCCTGCTCCCCTGCCGAGGAGGAGGCAGCTAACAAGCAGTGTTCAATCCTCACGCATCTGGGTGGCCCGTTCCAGCCATGCCATGCAGTTCTGCCACCCCAGACCTACTTTGAGAGCTGTGTCTATGACCAGTGTGCCACAGGCGGCAGCACGGAGCAGCTCTGCAATGACCTGGGGGCCTATGCCACAGCCTGCGCGGAGGCAGGGGTTGCCCTGGGAGACTGGAGTGCTGGCACTGTCTGTGGTAAGTCTTCTGTCCATCTCCTTTGATTTCCCTGACTCTCTCCCTGATTCAAGGAATGGGGCAGCTGTGCTGGAGGTTTCCCCACCTGTCACCTCACTGGCCTGGTGTGCGTCCTACAGTTCTTTTGCCATGGTGCGGTGGTGTTTGGGAAGGGTGCAACATCCCCATTTGGGAACAAATCCCCTTACAAAACACACCTTCTCCACCTCTGCTTCACTCTCTTTCATTCATCAGCTCCTACACCCTCGTCCCCCTTGCCAGACACTACAACACGGCCTCCACATACAACAACCTCACCGGCACCTGGGACAAGCACAGGTACGGTTGTCTCCCATCCATGTTTTTTACTGGCTGTGCTAAGCCTTCCCCCTTGGCTGGCCACCCTCACCTGGCCACAGACATACCATGGGTGTGTATGTGGCTGTATGTGAGCACTGTGTGACAGTGGGAAAAGGTGGCCCCACCTTCACTCTACAACCTCTGCTTTCCTTTCTGCACCACGTCCAGCTCCCCCGACAGACTGCAATTTCACCTGCACATTCGACAAGGACTTCTGTGGCTGGGTCCAGGCAGACTACAGCAGCATTGACTGGATAAGGAACAGAGGCCCAACGCCCACACCAAATACCGGCCCCTCCTCTGACCACACAACTGGAGGTAAAAACAGCAATCAGGACACAGGCTGGGGAGTGTCCCTGGGAAGATACCCCTAAACTTCTGCTAGCAGCAAACACAGGCCACATCTTTCCTGGTCTTGATCCAGAGAAATTTAAAGCAGTGTCTCCCAGAGCTGGAGGCTTCCTTTGGGAAGATTTCCAGCCCTGGGAATCGGTCCGTGGTAGCCACAGGGCAGCCAGGGCCTACCATGCGGGGGAGAAAGTAATGCAGAGCTTGATGAGCCGTTTGTCTCTGGGGAATAGGAACGGGTCTGTCTCTCTGTTAGACAGAGAGGCTGGCTTCTCCAAACAACAAGGTGAGGACTGAGTCTCCAAAGCTGCAGAGCCGCGCAAGGGCTGTGGCAATGCTTTGGAGGTGGTGCCGTTGCCCAGGCCAAGGCATGCAGCTGCCGTGGCCCAGAGAGCACCTTTGTAGGGGCGCTCGGGTCCAGGGAGGCTTGTGGCTTGTGAAGGACCTGTGTTTGCTCCCCGCTCCTTTTGCCTGCCTGAAAATGCAGCTTCGGCGCTCCCAGGACTGGGCTTGGGTTGTCCCTGGCTGCTTTGTCTAGATTTGATGTGTGTGTGACAGTGTGGCCCATGCTTGGTTTCAGACGGCTACTACATCTACCTGCAAGGGACTGATGATGCTCTCTCCGGGTTTGTGGCTGTCCTGGTCGGTCCGGTGTGCAGTTGGGAAGGAACGCACTGCTTCCGCTTCTGGTACCACATGTACGGAAACTCTGAAATGGCCCTGCGGGTGTACGTGGCAAAGGACTGTGAGCAAGTGGAGGTGTGGAATCAAGAAGGGAACCATGGGGACACGTGGCACTTGGGAGAGGTGACGGTGCACATCACAGGAGATACGCAGGTAAGGGCACAGGCTCTCACTGCCACCTAAGAGGGACCGTCCTTTCTAACGGCGCTTCACACGTGCGGCCAGAGCTAATGCTGGGAACAATTCCTTCCCTCAGATTTTGCTGGAGGGACAGTGGGGCGAAGACGCCCGGAGCAACGTAGCATTGGATGATCTGTCCATTGAAAAGGGATCCTGTGCAGGTACAAGGCTTGGCTTGGGAAAGGGCAGCTTGAGACATGTCACCAACTGAGCTGGTAGGCTGTGCTAGAGGCAGGAGCACAGGTTGTCTCTGCAGTGCCCTGTAGGGCACTGATGCCTCCTGTGCCCAAGCCGGCTTTCTCCTGGGAGACTGGAGCACTGGCACTGCCTGGTTTAGTTCATGTGTTACAAGGCCCACAGACAGGACATTGACCATGGGACTGAAGTGCCTTACTTGCTTTTGTCACCCAGCTGTGCTGCTGGCTGAGCCCTTGGGTGGGAGGGTTCTTCCTGAGATGACACACTTCACTGTCTCTTCTGGGCATGCCTGGTAGTGGAGTTGGGTGCTTCAGAAGGGTGAAGGATGCAGCTGCTGCAAGAAAACTCCCATGTTGGTGCACATCTCCTCTAACTGTCCCTTCTGCTTGGTGCATCAACAGCAACACCCACGATCCCACAGCCAGGCACTACAACGCAGACAACACCAAGACCACCAACAGCACCACCGGGGACGCCTCAGGTACGCCCTGGGTCTATTGAGTTCCAAGAATGTTGGGTTTTTTCGGGAGTAGGTGGACAAGGCTGCTGCAACAAAACGCCATGCTGAACACGTGCCCATTTCTTCCTCTGATCTCATCATAGGTCAAACTATCCTCCTACAAACCCGCAACCCCCTGCCGAACGTCACGACGCAGACAACACCAAGACCACCAACAGCACCACCGGGGACGACCTCAGGTACTGCCCTGGGTCTCTTGAGTCAGAATGTTGGGTTTTTCAGGAAGGGTGGACAAGCTGCATGCAACAAAACGCCCATGCTGACACTGCCCATTTCTTCCTCTGTCTCTTCATAGGTCCACTTCCTCCTACACCCTCAACCCCACTGCCTAACATCACGACGCAGACAACACCAAGACCACCAACAGCACCACCGGGGACGACCTCAGGTACTGCTATAATTGGTAGCACCTCACTGGCCTGGTGTGCCAGGCTTCGGGTGAAGAGACTCTTTGGGACGGGGACACTGTGGAATCCCTGTCCTACAGTTCTTTTGCCATGGTGCGGTGGTGTTTGGGAAGGGTGCAACATCCCCATTTGGGAACAAATCCCCTTACAAAACACACCTTCTCCACCTCTGCTTCACTCTCTTTCATTCATCAGCTCCTACACCCTCGTCCCCCTTGCCAGACACTACAACACGGCCTCCACATACAACAACCTCACCGGCACCTGGGACAAGCACAGGTACGGTTGTCTCCCATCCATGTTTTTTACTGGCTGTGCTAAGCCTTCCCCCTTGGCTGGCCACCCTCACCTGGCCACAGACATACCATGGGTGTGTATGTGGCTGTATGTGAGCACTGTGTGACAGTGGGAAAAGGTGGCCCCACCTTCACTCTACAACCTCTGCTTTCCTTTCTGCACCACGTCCAGCTCCCCCGACAGACTGCAATTTCACCTGCACATTCGACAAGGACTTCTGTGGCTGGGTCCAGGCAGACTACAGCAGCATTGACTGGATAAGGAACAGAGGCCCAACGCCCACACCAAATACCGGCCCCTCCTCTGACCACACAACTGGAGGTAAAAACAGCAATCAGGACACAGGCTGGGGAGTGTCCCTGGGAAGATACCCCTAAACTTCTGCTAGCAGCAAACACAGGCCACATCTTTCCTGGTCTTGATCCAGAGAAATTTAAAGCAGTGTCTCCCAGAGCCGGAGGCTTCCTTTGGGAAGATTTCCAGCCCTGGGAATCGGTCCGTGGTAGCCACAGGGCAGCCAGGGCCTACCATGCGGGGGAGAAAGTAATGCAGAGCTTGATGAGCCGTTTGTCTCTGGGGAATAGGAACGGGTCTGTCTCTCTGTTAGACAGAGAGGCTGGCTTCTCCAAACAACAAGGTGAGGACTGAGTCTCCGAAGCTGCAGAGCCGCGCAAGGGCTGTGGCAATGCTTTGGAGGTGGTGCCGTTGCCCAGGCCAAGGCATGCAGCTGCCGTGGCCCAGAGAGCACCTTTGTAGGGGCGCTCGGGTCCAGGGAGGCTTGTGGCTTGTGAAGGACCTGTGTTTGCTCCCCGCTCCTTTTGCCTGCCTGAAAATGCAGCTTCGGCGCTCCCAGGACTGGGCTTGGGTTGTCCCTGGCTGCTTTGTCTAGATTTGATGTGTGTGTGACAGTGTGGCCCATGCTTGGTTTCAGACGGCTACTACATCTACCTGCAAGGGACTGATGATGCTCTCTCCGGGTTTGTGGCTGTCCTGGTCGGTCCGGTGTGCAGTTGGGAAGGAACGCACTGCTTCCGCTTCTGGTACCACATGTACGGAAACTCTGAAATGGCCCTGCGGGTGTACGTGGCAAAGGACTTTGAGCAAGTGGAGGTGTGGAATCAAGAAGGGAACCATGGGGACACGTGGCACTTGGGAGAGGTGACGGTGCACATCACAGGAAATACGCAGGTAAGGGCACAGGCTCTCACTGCCACCTAAGAGGGACCGTCCTTTCTAACGGCGCTTCACACGTGCGGCCAGAGCTAATGCTGGGAACAATTCCTTCCCTCAGATTTTGCTGGAGGGACAGTGGGGCGAAGACGCCCGGAGCAACGTAGCATTGGATGATCTGTCCATTGAAAAGGGATCCTGTGCAGGTACAAGGCTTGGCTTGGGAAAGGGCAGCTTGAGACATGTCACCAACTGAGCTGGTAGGCTGTGCTAGAGGCAGGAGCACAGGTTGTCTCTGCAGTGCCCTGTAGGGCACTGATGCCTCCTGTGCCCAAGCCGGCTTTCTCCTGGGAGACTGGAGCACTGGCAATGCCTGGTTTAGTTCATGTGTTACAAGGCCCACAGACAGGACATTGACCATGGGACTGAAGTGCCTTACTTGCTTTTGTCACCCAGCTGTGCTGCTGGCTGAGCCCTTGGGTGGGAGGGTTCTTCCTGAGATGACACGCTTCACTGTCTCTTCTGGGCATGCCTGGTAGTGGAGTTGGGTGCTTCAGAAGGGTGAAGGATGCAGCTGCTGCAAGAAAACTCCCATGTTGGTGCACATCTCCTCTAACTGTCCCTTCTGCTTGGTGCATCAACAGCAACACCCACGATCCCACAGCCAGGCACTACAACGCAGACAACACCAAGACCACCAACAGCACCACCGGGGACGACCTCAGGTACTGCCCTGGGTCTCTTGAGTCAGAATGTTGGGTTTTTCGGGAAGGGTGGACAAGCTGCATGCAACAAAACGCCCATGCTGACACTGCCCATTTCTTCCTCTGTCTCTTCATAGGTCCACTTCCTCCTACACCCTCAACCCCACTGCCTAACATCACGACGCAGACAACACCAAGACCACCAACAGCACCACCGGGGACGACCTCAGGTACTGCCCTGGGTCTCTTGAGTCAGAATGTTGGGTTTTTCGGGAAGGGTGGACAAGCTGCATGCAACAAAACGCCCATGCTGACACTGCCCATTTCTTCCTCTGTCTCTTCATAGGTCCACTTCCTCCTACACCCTCAACCCCACTGCCTAACATCACGACGCAGACAACACCAAGACCACCAACAGCACCACCGGGGACGACCTCAGGTACTGCTATAATTGGTAGCACCTCACTGGCCTGGTGTGCCAGGCTTCGGGTGAAGAGACTCTTTGGGATGGGGACACTGTGGAATCCCTGTCCTACAGTTCTTTTGCCATGGTGCGGTGGTGTTTGGGAAGGGTGCAACATCCCCATTTGGGAGCAAATCCCCTTACAAAACACACCTTCTCCACCTCTGCTTCACTCTCTTTCATTCATCAGCTCCTACACCCTCGTCCCCCTTGCCAGACACTACAACACGGCCTCCACATACAACAACCTCACCGGCACCTGGGACAAGCACGGGTACAGTTGTCTCCTATCCATGTTTTTTACTGGCTGTGCTAAGCCTTTCCCCTTGGCTGGCCACCCTCACCTGGCCACAGACATACCATGGGTGTGTATGTGGCTGTACGTGAGCATTGTGTGACAGTGGAAAAGGTGGCCCCACCTTCACTCTATCACTCTAAGACTCATATTTTACTTAACTGGTCTGGTGCTTGGCTTGCTGCACATCTCTTCTAACTCTCTCTTGCCCTAGGTCCATCAGCACCAACACCCACGATTCCCTTGCCAGGCACTACAACGCAGCCTGCCCACACAACATCACCAACAACACCAATACCCAGCTCAGGTACTGTTGTTTCCCATCTTGTTCTCTTACTGGCTCTCAGAACTTTCCTATTTTCTGAATTGTAGTGTCAGAGCTAAGTGACAGAGTTTTTATACTGGAGGGTCAGAGTTTTCCTTGCTCCCTCAGTTGCACTTGCATAATATTTCTTTATGTCTGGGACTCCTTCTGAGTTCTGACTATGTACACTCTCCTCTAGGTCTCTTTTGCCACAATGCCAAGCTTTTTGGTAAGAGTAGACCAGCCATCTAATAGTTATCTCACATACTCTTTATTTCCATGTCCATAAATATTTAAATTACTCTTTTCTATGGCAAGTTTTCACCTATTATACAGATGTTATTTTTTGTATATTTTGAAATTTAATTTAGTTTCCAAATTTTATTTTTGGGGTGTGATATAAGCCAGTTGTATTTTCTTGTCAAAGTCTGATTCTGTACAATTAGTGTTAGTTTAATATTTAGGATATATACTAAAATACCCTTTGATAAATTTTAATTGTTTCTTTCCTCCAATTTTAAGCACTTATATCTGCATATGTCAGCTTGTTAAATACAAGAGAGTCCTAGCTCACCTAATCAGTTTAGAATTTTTCTGCTTTTTTTTTGGTAACTGTTAAGTATGTCATTCTGGGAGCATTAACACTTTCTGTGTAAGGAGTTAAGCTTCACATGTAGACAACAACTGTACGTGTAGCTACATTTTAACATGCCATTGAAAAAGAAAGAGGAAAGGATCTCTTTCTTTATCTTTTTTTATTATTGGGAAGCACCATGAAGAACCTTCAATCTCAACTCTGTTAAGAGTTGATGGGAATTTTTTTTCTTCAAAACGGGAATTTCTTATTAACATTCAAAATCTTCTCCATGTTACACACTTCAATGAACGCACACTGTACTTCCATTTGTACATATTATCACTGACTAGTTAACTTCGATATTTTTTAAAAATGTGTAAAGGATATCTTGTGTATGCAATGTTCAATATAAGTTCCATAAATGATGTGAGTACAGAAACCCAGACAGCTGGTAGTGCAGCTATTCTGGCTAACCAACACTGTAAAGATGTTATGGAAATTCTTCCTATTTAGTCAGAAATAGCCTTTCAGATATCAACACTAAAAACTCACTGCTACAGTTTGTATAATGATGTCTTAACAGCAGTGCCTTTTTTTCTTTCATATCAAAGCCTTTTGCTCACATTTGTTCCTCAACCTCTAGCATAGATTTCTGATACACAAGTACAGGTTTTTTTATGGGTCCAAAGATAGAAGACTGGGTTGGCCTTTGGAGTGCTGTTGCTGTCAATATTATATCAGAGCAGCAAATACAAAGTAAAACAAAGTGGAAACCAAGCAACTGCAAAAATCTGATGAAGATTCGGAGGGAATTAGTCTGTCTTTTTTCCTTCACAGACCGTGCTTCCTGCAGCGCCTCTGGAGATCCACATTATAACACTTTTGACCACAGAGTCCATAATTTCATGGGAAATTGCACTTACACCCTCTCCAAAGTGTGCAATGTCTCTGAGAAGCTTCCATACTTCGATGTGTCCACAACAAATGAGCACAGAGGAGCCAACACCAAAGTCTCTTATGTGAAGTCAGTGCAAGTGGAAGTCTATGACAACCAGATATCTCTACAGAAAAACAAGAAAGTGAATGTAAGAAAATACTTGATTAAAAGAGATATATAACATATTTTTAACTGACATGCCAATAATAAAATATTTCCTCTGTAGAGTTTATAGGAGACTTTCTCTTTTTATTAATGACATGTACCTCTTTTAATGAGATCTCCAACAAACTTGCTCAGAGTAAATGTTCTTTAATTATTTCCAGTTGCTTTGTGCACAAGATCATATCTTTCAGTAATCTGTACTAGCTGCTGGTAGTTGTAGGAGTCCCAGCAGTCATGCACTAACTTTTACAATTTGCTGTACAGGTGAATGGTCGCAGAATGAACCTGCCTGTATTTATTGAGAAGAAAATCAGTATTCAAAGCAGTGGTGGATATGTTCTCTTGGAAACTGACTTTGGACTGTGGGTGAGATACGATGGAAACCACTATGCGGAAGTCTCCGTGCCCTCTAATTACAGTCATCTGCTCTGTGGCCTCTGTGGTAAGTTACAGACTTAGTCATTTTTTAGTGAGTTGTGGAGGCCAGTGATTGCTTCAGCTTTTTTTTTTTAGGATGTCTTACTTGTTCTACACAAAACTGGTCCCTGTCAAATGGACTAGAATTTACAGCACTGAAAAAAACTTGCTAGACTTTTTCAGTTTCTAAGAGGAACTTTAAAATTTCCTGGTAACATGCTATCCATTTGGAATGTTGCGAGGTATAATTAAAAATAACATTTTTAGCCAAATAAAAAAGCTGCCTTAAGTTCTACAGTTTAAAATTAGGGAGAGTCATTTTTTCCATGGAGCTATTAAAGAATTCTACAAACACATTTTTATGTTATTTACATTCTGATGTATTTGTCTTTTGTTCGGTGTGGAAATGATATATCATTTCATTCTGTGAATTATAAAAACCTGAGGCTGTTTGCACAGCAGAGAGAAATCTTTAATAGCTTACTGTCAGCATCATCAAGTTTTCCTGCTTCTCTTTTTCTGTGCTCTTAGAAGGCATTTATACAACCTGAATGATCATGTTTAAACAATCAAAAGAATGAGAAAAGAAGAAAAAGAAGAAACATTAGACTACTACATTTCTGATTATTCTTTGGTTTGGATCATCTAGAACTTCCTAGTTCTATTATCTCTCCATGGGTTTTTCGTGCTTTCAATGCAGGAAATCTACCTAAGAATATAGAGGTGCAAATAGCGCTGTGTAATTTTTAGTCCAACATTCTACACGTAGGAAACAAGAAAATGAGTTGGGATTTTTTTTTTAAGCTAAGAAGTTCTTTCTTGGATGCAATGTAATCTGGTTACACAGGAGCTTGCAGACTTCCTGCTTCAAGTCCACAAGTGTCTGAACAGCAGCTCAGTCAAAGCCTAAAACACAATTCTGCTCTTCTTATTTTGCCCAGTACACATTGCTGTTGCAGATTACTCTCCCTTTAATATTTTACTTTATTTTACAGCCTGAAACCTAGTATTGTTCTACACGTTTGAACTTCATGTTTTCCATAAATCTCCTTTTACCTTCACAGGTAATTATAATGGTGATCCAAATGATGACAATATAAAACCCAATGGTGATATTGCCAGTGGTTCTACTGATCTTGGAGAAAGCTGGCTTGTGCCTGAGAATAACACCATGTATGTATAATAATTTAATCACATGGCATTTGTTAACCAAACTCTTTAAAATCAAATAGCCATCCACTTGCTTGCTGGCTTTATCATCTGGTACCATTCCACATCTTCCAGCTGCCCATTAGAAGTAGGGAGCTGTACCTTTATGTAAACCAGAGAATGATAAGAGGGTTATGTCCTTTAAGTCTTGTTTTCCAAAGCAGGAACTGTCTGTTGAGTGTGAGAGAGGATGGGACTTCAGTCCAGTTCTCTAATTGGAAAGCATAACTGTTTGGATTCCATAACTGGTTTTTTTTCAGCTAAGAATAAGCCTTTGAATAGCCCAGAAGGGATCAAAAAAATGAGCCCATTCAGTGAGAGGGCTGACATCAGCTTTTCAAAGAAGCTGGATAAAGTCTTGTGACTGACATAAAGTACACTGTGTTGTGCAGGGTTGTCATGTGTCAATCTTACACTGAAAATCTTATAGTAAATGATGAGAAACACACATTTGATTCTGCTTGCTTTCCCCAGATGCTCCAGTGGTGGGACAGAAGAGCAGTGTGATCCTGTGTTGGAGAGTGAAGCAAAGAAGAACATAGCATGTGGCATGATCACAGACCCAACAGGTAATATGCTGGTAGTTTTCTGTGAGCCATATGATGGAACATGTTACAGTTTGTCTTGTCCCTTCTTTATAGTCTGTTTTCCTGAGCTCACACTGGAAGCATATAAAACCTCCAGTGTAAATGACCAATGTAAAACTCATAGGTGCTCGGTCAGGATATGTCATCTGTTCAGACAGTGCCCACGTGTCCATGAACGTTATCTCAGGACATGTTCAGGAAGCTGCTCTTTTCTTTATAGTGACTTGCACTCTGCTTGCTAAAAGAGTAGTTCAGAGGGCACTGTCAGTGTATGTATTACAGATACTTTAACTAAAATTCTGTACATGTTCCTTGCATTGGACAGTCCCTGTAGTTGTCTAGAATTAGTGGTTTTCCTAGGCAGCAACGCTTAGTTTATGTAAGCTATGTAGTATCAATCTTTCAAAAAGAAGAAAACCTGAATCAGAGCTCACTCTGATTCTGCCTTGTGCGTCCATTTCAAGTACTAGTTTAATTTACTAAACAAAGTTAGCCTGGAGCACTCACAATACATTTGCTGTGACAGAAAATAGATGGTGGTTATGATCTTAGCATTCCAGTTGTTTTTTTCTATCCTTCTATATATCTTTTTTGATTTACACAGGAATCTTCAAGGACTGTCATACCAAAGTGCCTCCAGAGAATTTCTTTGAAAATTGTGTTTATGACATGTGTTTCACTGGTGGACAGGCAACATCCCTATGCTATGGACTACAGGCCTATGCTGAGTCATGTATCAATGCTGGCATATGCATAGAGTGGAGGAATGCTACTCTTTGCCGTGAGTGTTGTGATATAAACATCTATTCTGGATTTTAACTTCATTGTCCTCTACCCTCTTTGTGCACGTTATTTCATTTTATGCAACGTTCTGAGTACGGATAAGATAAAAGAGAATCATATGTAGTGATTTATCACAGAATCTAGCCAGAAACAATTTTTCTGTGTTTTTTTAGATGACAGAAACAGAGAAATGCTTCTAGATTTCTGTAAATTGTAATGTTATCCCTGGGGACAATGCTTTGAGTGATAGAAACTCAATTTTACCATGAACAGCATGGGTATGAAAATATAATATATTTTCCTCAAGTGTTCTCAGTGAAAGACGGAGTGTCATTTTTAGTTCTATTTTAAAATACATGGCAGATGTTCAAATAGTAACAACAGTAAGGGGGACATATCATCTGGTATGGGTAGAGATTTTTCTATTCCCTTAGTGGAGTGACTTTCTGCCTTCAAACCAGTAGAAAAAGGTTTACTGAACCAAACACAATTGGTTGTCGTGTATGATGACATGAGACCTATCCTCGACACAGGCCTGCAATGTTTGACTTTGTTGTGAGGTGAAATGCAAGGGTGGCCCACATGTCTTGCCCACCTTTATCAAAAGCCACCCATCTCACACGGAAAGAGAGTCCTTTGTGCTCAGCACTGTCCTGTGTCAGGCTTTCTAACAGCAATTTTGTGTATTTTCAGGAGCAAACAGTGAAAGCATCAGGAAAACTTTTGCCACAATTTTGCCCTTTAGAGTGATCTTATTTTTCCTCTTTATCTAGCAATGTCCTGTCCTGGAGGCAGCATCTACAAGAGCTGTGGTACTAGGTGTCCCTCTACCTGTTTGAACATCTCAGCAGCTGATTCCTGCAGTTCTTTACCAGTGGAAGGTTGCTTCTGTAAGGAAGGTTATGTTTTGAGTGGAGACAAATGTGTGCCAGAAAGCAGCTGTGGTTGTGTTGATGAAAAGAACCAGTATCACCAGGCAAGTTACCTCAGGCATTTAAGTAAATAAATAAATAAAGTAAAAAAAGGTGGAGGGGGAGAATCTCATTCCTTATCACTGTGAGAGAAAAAGCATGTTAATAACACTACACAATTAATATTTACACCACTAATAATTTCAAAATAGAATTACTTTGCCAGTCTTCTTGATACATGAGCTGCGTGGCTACAATTGCCCAAATGATCACATATCATGCACATTCAAATATTGATAATTTTATTTCCTTACAGTTTTACGTTCTTATTTATCTTATAGTATATAATTCTACACACTTTTTTCCACTCAGCTGGATGAAAGCTGGTTCACCCATTATCCCTGCACTGAACGCTGCACCTGCAAGGCTAATAACACCATTGAATGCACATCCTGGGAGTGTGGAGTCCAAGAGGAATGCAGCATTCAGGATGGTGTGCTGGGCTGTCATTCCAATGGTAAGTCCTGCCTGAAAATCATTCCAATATCAATTCTTTAATTAGATCCTCTTCTCCTTCTAACTTCATTATAAATGTCTCTTCCCATGTGATAGTAAAGAAGTCCCAACTGACTGCTGCCATTGCTAAGAGTTGGAAATATGATGTTCTGTCTTGCAAGCACAAAGGCCCTTCCTTTGTAGTGAATATCAGCAAAAACTGATGATGCCCAAGGTCACTTGGGTTCTGTTTGTCCTGATAATGAAAATTCATGTCCCACATCACCAGTACTGCAAGCTATAAATATGAGAATAATTGAGAATTGCATTTCTGTGGGTCTGGGTTATGATGAGTGTACTATATATTGATATATACAGATGAAATTTTATTTACTTTTACACCCATATTTATACAGATAATTCTATATCTTTGCATAGATAATTAGAAAAGCTCTGTATTACTCTCAAATACCATAAATTGTAGCTGCAACAGCATATAGAAATATATACAAAAGTTAATTTGATGCCAGTTTGTCATTTTGTATGTAATTTGCAAATTAAATTTAGGAGGTGCTTTCTAGAAATTTCTTATTTTCAAATAAATGTCATTGGCATGAACCTGAGATGCCTCTGTGAAAGTTTGCTCACATAATATTTATCAGGATTAGGTTGTTACACTTATGCAAACTCCTTTATCAGCTGACTCCATGACTAAGTCCAGTACAAAGTTCTTAGATATTTTTTTTTCACGTTCAGGTCAAGCAACATGTCAAGTGGTAGGAGATCCCCATTATTTCACTTTTGATGGAATGAAGTACACTTTCATGGGAACCTGCACCTACACTTTGGTTGAGGTTGTCAACACTTCCACCAATGTCATTCCTATAACCATACTGGGCAAGAATGAAGACAGAGGACTGAGAGGGGCCACATACCTGAAAGAAGTCTATATAGATGTGCATGGTGTACGAATCACCCTTCAGAAAAACCAAGGAATCCTGGTAGGTGGTGGTGCTCTTTACTCTAGCAAGAAGTATCTTAAAATTAGCTCACTTACAGTAGCTGTAGGAAAAAGGATCTTCATGTTTCCTAAGGAATATGTACGCATATGCTTAATACTTGTGGGCACCTCCATTAAGTGGATATCACGAGCAGATATAATTTCTCAGTAGTTCCCAAGGGTTTTGGTTTGGGTTTACTGTTTTATTGGTCATATCTTTGAGATGGAGCCCAGAGCCTCCAGATTGGAGAACTGTTGCTTGAAGTAAAGTATGGGACTCCCCACTTCAACAGTTCTTGTCAAGCCAATCACCTATAGTGGGCTAACAAGAGCAGAGGAAAGGCAAGTCATACTGTATCAGTTTAGAAAAACATGGGGATCCATGGCAGTCCTGGAGGCAGGGAGTCTACCCTAAGGGTGAGTAAGAGCTTGCTCACTACCAGTGATCTTTTCAGCTCCCTGTTCAAGGTATAGGATATGAGTCCTGCCCATCTCTCCTCAGCTAAAAGGCTTATTCCTGCAACCCGTAGTTGGAATATGCAATGGTGGAAGTGTAAACAGCTAAAACTGTCACAGAGAAATCTTCAGCACTGCTAGAACTATAGACTGTGAGCAGAAAAGCTTTCATGGAATAATGTCCATACTGACAAAATGACATGTCTCTCCAGCTGAACAATGAGAGAGTCTACACTCCAGTGGAGAACCGACTGCAAGGCGTGTCCATTGGAAATGTTGGCAGATTTATAGTCATGGAAACTGACTTTGGTGTGATAGTGAAATACGACGGCAATCACCATCTGGAAATCACCCTCCCACAATCTTACTTCTCACAGGTAAGATTTAGTGTGCAAACATCTGGCTCTTCAAAACTACTGCTTTCTGCATTTACTTCTAATTCCTTTTATTCTTGCGTTTTGCTATTGCATCTTTCTTTGTAGTTGTATTGTAACACATGACAATTTTTTCCTTTGTATTTTTTTCTCTTCGCAACAATTTCCTTGTGTTCTGAGGGGGTAGTTAAAGAAAATTACCTGTCTAGAGTAATACATCTAACTTAGAGAAATAAATACCTTGAAGCCTCAGGGAATCACAGATTTACTGCAATATCTGTTTTGTTTCTCCATGGGTGCAGTCAGAATGTCTAAGATGTCTAGTACAAGATTGGTGGTTGATTTGGTCACATTATTTCATAGGCAATGAATAAGAAGTTATTGGGGAAGTTGATGTGAACAGGTCATGCTTAGAATATGGTTCTTTTTTGTTTGCAGGTGCATGGCATGTGTGGTAATCTCAATGATATTCGTGAAGATGATCTGTCCTTGCCCAATGGAACAGTCGTCAGTGCCACACAGTTTGGAAATAGCTGGAAAGTGGAGGAAGACAGTGATAAGGGGTAAATATTAATGTCTTTTCATACCTTCCATCTCGCTTCAGAAAACAGTCAATTGTTTTCAGTTGTTTTGACTGTCTGCTACTTTGTAACATGTAAGCAGCGTGTGTGAGACTTTTCTCTTGTTGAATTTGAAGCCCAAAGAAAGGCCATCCCCACAGGAAACCACTGCACAGGCCAGAGGGAATCCACAGCCGTTCTATCAATTGACATACACACTTGGGGAGTTAGTCTTTGGGGCACTCCACAGTGTGTACACAGCCTCTGTCTATTTTACACTGATAACACCCAGAACCAGATGATGGTGCTGGGGAATGGTGAGGGCCAGCTGCTCCCTAGGGGACAGGAAGTCATATTTGATAACACAGCTGAGAAAACAGTGGCCTCAGGCCCGCAGTGGAAGCTGGAGACAGCCTGGCTCAGTCCAGATCACCACACGAATTTGCAGTGATGAGACAGATCCAAGATCAAGCTGTGCGCCAATCCTCTAGTCAGGGTCAAGTTTAGTGAGAGTAACAAGTGTGAGACACAGCATGGTGGTTGTCAGGCAGGTCTAATTCTGCCTAGGCTTTCACTCAGGCAGAAGGAAGACTGTAGTCTCTAGCCTTTTCTACCTCACAGTAGAAAAAACTTTTCAATTTTCATGTCTTCAGCATGCCTTTGGAACTTAGATGCCTGTGTCTGTGCCTTCTTGCAGTTGCTTACCAGACTTAAGAGAAGATGATAATCCTCCTTGCACTGCTGAGAATAAACAAGTCATTGAAAGCCAGTGTAATGTCCTAAAATCAGACAAATTCAAAGTATGCCATAATCTAGTCAACCCTGAAGACTTTGTAGAGATCTGCATCTATGACATGTGCCAGTATGACGGCATGAAGTCTGCTCTCTGCGACATAGTTCAAGCCTATGTGGAGACCTGCAAGAACCATGGAATCACCATTAAATGGAGGAATAACACATTCTGTCGTAAGTGCACAAGCAAGGGAAAAAACTGAAACTTGGATGACTGATAGTATGAAAACAAATAAGCAGAATTACGTGAACAAGTTATGTCAAAGGAAAATAAATCCAAATTCTCACAAAACACAATTCTACTATTATGATTCCATTGCTGTGCTGAATTGTGTTCAGGTTCATATAAGCCCAGTGATAACTCAGGACTAGGCAAGCTATGGATACTAATGTGGAGTTAGAATGGTTTTAGTAGCCACATGAGTGCCATGAGATATTGCAGTGAGCCTAAAATGGAGAAATAATAGAACCAGAAGACTAAAAGAAAGTTGGATACTGTCATAGGACACAGGGCTCAATGACACTCACTGTGATTTGAATGAAAACTGTCAGTTTACCCAGTTGTTTATTACAGGCCATATTCTCGGATTAATTTCCAGGGTATGTGCCTCACTTCACCAATTCAACAAAGCTACAAACTAATTATGCAAAAATAAATAAAGATCAGGTAGTGGGGGGCTTATTTGTGGGGGATTTTTCACAATTTAGTATCATATTGTGGGATTATCACATAATGTTGTGGAGGACAAAACAATTAACTGGTTAAAAAACAAGCCAGATGAATGTTGAATAGGTCTATCAGAAATCCCTAGTTGCCTCTTTGCCACAAGCAGAGGAAAATACTGGACTAACAAACTTTTTGTCATGTTAGCCTGTTTCTTGAACTGTCCCCTTATGCGTCTCTAGTCACTGGCAGAAATGTGGTATGGAGCTGGATGAATCTGCAGTCTGAAAGTGCAGTGCATATCTTGCATGTGTTTATGTCTGTGGTTAAGCTAAATTTACACCTGGTTTGCATCAATGGAGGGTGGAACATTCTAAAATATTTGCCCTTAAGATTCACGTTTCCAGCAGTGCCCAAAGAGGCATTTGCAGCATAACTGGAACACTGAACCGGAATGATCTAGTGCCAGGTGCCACCAGTTCAGGCATACCTGTAATAAAACTGCATGAGCAGCTCCGGAAAGGGTTCTTTGCTTTGTTTTGGTTTGTTTGGGTTTTTTTAAGTAAAATACAAAAATAAAAATTGGTTGATCATCAAAATCAGCTATTAAAAGGTAACTCCATACTACCATTTCATAGGCCAATGTGTAGCTTTCAGTGTTTGCAGTGCACTTTGTAGATGTATTTAATAACGCTGCTCCTATTCTCCCACACAGCATTGCCCTGCCCATCCCGGAGCCATTACAAAGACTGTGTCTCCGCCTGCCCATCAACATGCAATGACATTTTTGCCTCTTCCCTTTGTGACAAGACAGAAGAATGTACAGAGGGCTGTGAGTGTGATGATAATTATGTGCTCAGTAATGGCAACTGTGTACCTCTGAGCAGTTGTGGCTGCAGGGATGATGACAACAATTACTACAGTGTAAGTAGTTTGTCTGTGGAGCAAATCTGTGGCTTCAAAATCTGTGGCTTTTCTGCAGAAAGTTGGTCTCCTGACAATCTTAATATGAGAAAGACAGAGAGAAAGATCAAAGTCTTCAGGGTCTACCTCTTAAATACCTCCCATCTGATGAGTAAAAGCTTCAGGCTTGGCTATTAGGAGATGCAGAAGCTTGCTTTGTACTTTGCACCTGAGGCCAAAACTCAGGCATATTTGAAAACAGTCAATTGATCAGAGATATGCAGGCAGTCTCTCCTATCCTGTTTTGTGTTCAAATTCTCATGTCAAAGACAATAAGATAAATGGACTGAGATCCCCACTCCCACACTCTTGGTGAGACTACGCTTGGATTGAGCCTTTGTGGAATCACCAACTGGACAGGCTGCACCTAACCTGTCCCCACACCCTTAGCTATTGAACTATTATTGCATTGCAAAGCTGAACACCTTGATAACGTCTTATCACCATAACTTGTGTTTAGGCTGGGGAGACATGGATAACTCCACACTGTGCCAGAAGATGCCAGTGTCAGAAGAACGGTGTCATCAGTTGTAACAGCTATAGCTGTGATTCTAGAGAAACATGTGTGATCCAAAATGGAAAATACAAGTGCCATCCAACAGGTACGTGCAAGCAAGTCTTCATTTGGTGTTTCATGGGGGTTGGAGAAGGAGGGAGAATGTGTGTGTCCATTCTTTCTTCCATGGCAACTCCAGACTTTCAAGGGGAAAGAAGGAAACTCTGACAGTGTTATTGATGACACATTATTGAATATAAAAAGCCTCAGTTCTCATAATAAAATGTTCCAGCTCCAAACAGAGAATTTGTAGAGGGAAATGGATACTCGGGTATGAAAATTTACTTATATCTAGAAATCTAGTTCGATCTGACTAGTTTAAATAAATAAATAAATTTAAGAAAAAATTCACTGCATGTTGATTTGAGAACAGAAAAAAAAAAACAATAAACAAAATCCAAGACAGAGCAGATCTGAACAGATACATAATAGGCCAGTCAGAGAACTTTGTACTTTTGTTCATTAGTGCTTTGGCTAAGCAAAGTTAATTCCATATTCTCTAGGTATGTTGGGTTGTTTGGGAGACAGCTTATTGCCTAGTGCCTCTGCACTTCAGTTTTGAAGAATAGTATGTCATCAATCATAGTGTATTGAGTATCAGTACAAAAGCATAATGCAAATCCAGTGTCCCCCTGCTACATTTTGGCAAAATACCAGAGCAGAGGCACCCCAGCAGTCTTAAGGATAGCCTTGCTCCTGGTATAATGGTTTACTCTGCGCTCAGTGGTCAAGAACACAGAGATGATAGTCACTGCATCTGATTGTTGGGTCTGGTGAACCGAATCATCCATTTTAGTAACCTCAGAGGAAACCAGTGACAGCACTGAGCAAGCCAAAGTTAGACATTGCTTTTCAATTTTGTAGCAATGCACGGCTGAGGTTTATGAAATCGACATCTCTAAGAGCCCACTGCAAGCCATGCTGTGTGGCAGCAGAGGGCCAATATGCACAACTTAGTCTCTATAATGTCTATAAACTCTAATGTTCTGCTTCAGCTCATCTGGCTCACACTGGTTCTCAGCAGAGGAATGAGTTTTTCTGTCCATCTCTCTGTTTCAGTGTTCATTCACTAGGGTGATGCCTGAGCACCCACCTTTACTTTCAGACCTGCATGCCAGCAGCAATAATTTTTATCTACCATTTTGAACCAATCTATGCATGGGATCTGACACATGCACATTTAAACTGGAGAGTAATGAAGCTCTTCCTTTTTAGGTTTTGGAAGATGCCAGATCCTGGGCGACCCACACTACACCACCTTCGACGGTCTGGTGCACCACTTCCAAGGGAAATACACGTATATTTTGGCTCAGACCATCCCTGACCTACCTGATACTCTCACGCCGTTCAGCATTGAAGGCATTAACTCTCCTTTACTCCTATTTCGACACATTACCTACCTGAAAGAGATTCTCATCAATGTTTACAACCACACAGTGCGATTCAGGCAGAACAAGCAGATTCTGGTAAGTTTCTCCCTGACAGCAGAGCATGGAGAAAGACTCTCCCTTGGAGCAAAACACCTCTGGGTAATAAATGTTTGTTTTGAAGAATTAAAGTACTAAAGTACTAAACTGTATTGTTACAGCAGTGCTATGAGACAACCACAAATGAGATTTTCAGTTGTGTTGAGTCTTTTTGCTCCATAGCTATGAAGGATATGATTCTACTTCAAACAAATAAATGTATAAATAGAGTTTTGGGAATAAAACACCAAATATCCCAAGGCTTAAAATAAAGCCACACAAATTTTTATCAGTGGTAGGGAAAAGTGTGAATTAGGCTAGGATAATTTAATTTCCTTCCCTTTTATTGGTGTGTAAGAATATACATAGCCCCTATATTCACTTTAGCTCCATAACAGAAATCTCTTATGATGATATGAAAGTACTGTGTCCAGATCACTTTCCTCAATATATGATTTTGTTAACTTTAAAAAATTAAATACTGAGTTTTTTACTGGTTAAATTATCTGATACATTTATCATGAAAAGCAAGAAATGTTGATATGTAGCACTGACCTGTACTGAAGCCAGATTTTAATTTGGCCTACATATAATGAATTTTAATTTATTTCCCTGTTAGTTGGATGGTGTCCGTGTGAGACCCCCTCTTCGACCTCATGAAGGTATTCATATATATCAGAGGATAACAAGAATTTACCTAGAGACAGATTTTGGCTTGTATGTGAGCTTTGATGGCAATCAAAATGCAGGTAAGTGATACTAAAAAAAATGTGCTGAAATATTTATGCACTGTCTCAAAAAATGTTGTCATTCCAAAGTTAATCCTGATTTACAACAGCATATAGCTATTTTATTTCTAAGTGTATGGTGAAAGGGCCAGGCAATTTATTTACATGACCCTCATTCCCAACCCTAAAATTCCAACCGCAGAAAGAAACAGTCTGCTTGTAGGAATTCTGTTTCTCAGTGGTCAAGTGGATTGTCAGTGAAGGGCAAAAAGTGGGTGATGCATTCAGTTTGTTGCAAAGCAGTAAGCAGCATGCACTAAGAGCATTTGGGCAATGATGTTGTGCTATATAATAACATATTATAAGAAATTACTGCAAGAAATTTTTTTTTCATGATCCATGTTGCGGAGCACAGAAACAGTCCTGTGACTACATGTATGAACATGTATGTTCAGGGCTGTGCTCACATGCTACATGTGAAGCCCATGTCATGTTACGAACTTCAATCTGAGTCATAAAATGTGGCACTTGGCATTGTTTTCCACTTCTTCCTACACTCAGAGACAACGATTTCTGTGTAACAGCTTTTTTTTTCTTCTGACCTTCCCTAGATATAAAGCTGGCCAACACCTACGGAAGCAGAGTGGAAGGCTTGTGTGGTGACTTTGATGGGAGATATAGAAATGACTTCACAAATCCAGATGGTGTTTGGGTGAAGAACGTGAATGTATTCGGTGAAAGTTGGAAAGTTCCTTTAAAAAGAAGCTCTCGTTTCAGGTACTTCATTTTCTACTTAATATCCATGGCAAGTACTGCCTCTAGAAGTGAGAGAATTAAGCCATAGTTAACCTCCAGGAATAATTACACTGTCTTATTTCTGGTTTTTCTTTTTCCCTTTGTTTGCGTGTAGGGACTTTTTCTGCTCATCACTAAGGTGAGCTATCAGTGCCCTTCTATCTAGCCAAAAGAGGCCTGAATTACTGCATTACTGCGGTTCAGTATCCCTCTTTGGAGTCACAGCCATTACAACTGCTGGGGCAGAGGAATAAAAAACATCTTTGCCAAGCTCACGGTTGCTGGCAAAAATAAGTACATGCTATACCAAGTGTAAATCCTGATTTAATGTCAGTCCTTCCCCTGGAACAGGGGTTTATTTCAGCTGTATGCTTCTGACTAACGTTCCAATTTTGTTGAATAGATTGGATGAAGGAGGCGTTCTGTGTCATGCAGAATTTCCAAAGAGAGAACTACAGACATCCCTTTTAATTTAAATACCATAAATCTCTGAGATCGTAGGAAGTGTTCCAGCATGTCTTTGATTTGCTACATCTATGTCCTTCCCATTCAGGATAAATCATGAGAGATAAATAAGCTTACATCTACACTATGAGGCAGAAGTATTCCTGCAGTGTTACTTAGAGACTAGTACCATGAATGCTGGATGTACACAGAACACTGATGGTTTCATAATGACTTCATTTATAGACGAGATGTCAACTCAGGAAATGAGTCTGCGGAGGAGCCAGATCCAGGGCTTTACCAAGGTTGCAACGAAAATCAGCTGGAACAGCAAAATGCAACTTCAAGATGCCAAATCCTGACTGACTTGAATGGTCCTTTTGCAAAGTGTCATTCCACAGTCCTACCGGATTTCTATTTCACGTAAGTGTTTACTGCAGACAGTTGTTCTCCCCGTTTGCAAAATCATTTTGGCGATAGTTTCTGACAAGAACTTTGCATCTTCAGTCTCCAGGGCATTAATAGGAGCTGAGGATAATAAGTGTCTTTGGGCCCAGTGATTCCATTATTGATATATTTACATCCCCTTATTTATTTTTACATAAACGTGATGGCCTTTCTTTCATCTATTTAGAGTTTACTTCTCTCTTAGCTATATATATATATATATATTTGCACACAGATAAAGCAGCAGTGTTAAGCATTATACCTGTAGCCTGGGATTTCCAGTGTGCTTACAGTTCTCATCTACATTCAGTGAGAATTTAGCACCTAGGTCTATTGGCTTCCTTTAAGCAATTCTAGCTTCATAAAATCTATATCATGCTGTAGCCAAAAGCTGAAGCTGTCAGTGATGCTTCTTGAATTTTTCATGGAGAAGTACAAAAACCAGAGTAGTGAAGAGTAACTAACCTGGTATCTTTAAGAAAGTTCCCTCTGCTGTGTTTCAGGGTTGCTCTGCCTCCTACCCATACAATTCCTACATACTAAATTTTGAGCTGTATTCATCCCCACATTCATCATTCATCCGTCATTAGTCACAAATATGCCAAGTAGCTGCCAGTTTTCTTTAGTTACATGCTTGTACCTAGTGTTTAGAGACAGACAATGCCCATCTCCTATCTGGGAGAAGAATGTTACAGTATCTTAAGCCAAATAAAGTGGATCTCTGTATATATGCTGATTCTTAACATAACTTTTCTCCTCACTCTAGAATTTGGTTGGGCAGCCTGTTCTACCTGCCTAGTGGTGCCCTGATCTTACCAAGGCACTGCATATTTTCAGATTCCATTCATCTTGAATCTCAGTGCCTCTGAAAATCAGGCCACAGATATTCAAATGATGAGCAAAACCGAGAAAGTAGCACTGGCAAACAAACACTGGGTAAAACAGCATTCTGTGCTGTTAAGGCACGTGGACATGGGGAGGGTACCCATGTATTGAAAGAAGTGTGTAGGCCAGCTGTAAGACTTAGCAGTGCTAAAAAGTGCTCTGCAAGCAAGATGTAGCTCAAAACAGAAGCAGATAGCAAAGAATAACTGATTATGCTAAGTCAGGTAACAGTTTATTGCTCGTTCCAAGGGAGGTCTAGATTGCACATCAGGAAAATTTTTAATTTAGGGACACGGTTTAGTGGTGGACCTGGCAGTGTTAGGTTAAAGGTTGGACCTGATGATCTTAGAGGTCTTTTCTAGGCTTAATGATCTATGATTCTATATGAACACCTCACATATTAGCAGCAGCTGCACAACAAATGACCTGATCTTCCAATTATGTGTCTGGAGTGCTTTTTATTCCTCTGTTTCCTATCAGGCAGATACTGGAACACAGAACTAACTCAGAGTCAGGCAGAAAAGCAAATGAAAATAAGCAATAACAAATGTACTGGAAATTAATGTTTTCTCATGTTTCACATAGGAGCTGCCTGTTTGATATGTGTGTGGAAGGAGATGAGGTCACTACCTTGTGTCGCAGTCTGGAGGAATATGTGCTGGCCTGTCAGCAGCAAGGAGTCAGTATGGATGGCTGGAGACAACAGACAGTTTGTGGTAAGCATGGGAAGAAATGGGAAGTATGGATTCTGCCTACAGGACTCTCAAAATATCAGGTTTAAGGCTTTTCCTAGACACACCATGTATCAAAACTTCTCAGGGAGTAAAAACATGTTGATTCTCACTTTGCTCAGTCTTCACAGTTTAACATGCACATTTGCCTTTCTGGCCTCTCTTCTGTGTCCTATGCTGACTTTCACATTTAGCCTCCAGCTTACAAAGACACTTTGGAAATCAGAGCTGTCAGCTCACTGTCATCAGAAGTTCTGTGAGAGAAAAAATGTCCCCCGTCCCAATGGGACAAAAAAAAAAAAAAAATTTTGGAGACCATCACAAGCTAGAAGTCTGAAGGAAAAACAATTAATTTCAATCTCCTTTAAAATCTACAAAATATACTATCTTTTTTGCCTGTGAAATTTCAAGATAAAAAAAAAGATTCAACTGAAAACACTAAATTTTTCAGACTAAGAAATGCTGGAATAAAACTTATAATCATCTCAAACTTTTTTTTTTACTAATTTTTTTGGAGGTCGGGAGATTAATCAAACCATATTTTCCCTGTGTTTCCTATGACTCTCTATTCCTGGTGAAACACAGTTCCTGAAGTTGTGAAACAGGTCTGGCACTCGCAGGGATGGCTACCTTGAATGTGTGGGAAGCTGTTTTGAGATCAGTGTATATCAGGAATGAGAGCACATTATACAAGTAGTTTAGATGATGCATTTCCTGACTTTGGAGTGCTTTACTTACAACTTCAGCACTATCATATAGGTATGCACATCTCTGTGTATGTATGTTCATCATATGGCCTCCTGCAAAATTATGCCTTCTGGATCTGAAAGAGAATTCTATATTTAAGTAATGCACAGCATCCTGGTATAACTGGACTGTCCTTATTTTTATAGGTATATCATGTCCTGCCAACAGCAACTACAGCTCATGCACGTCTGCATGCCCAGCATCCTGCAACGACCTGACCAGCCCTTCTGAGTGTGAATCACCTTGTGTGGAAGGCTGTGAATGTCTCCCTGGCTATGTTCTTAGTGGTTTTGACTGTGTGCCTTACAAAGAGTGTGGCTGCACATACCTGAACAAATACTATGAGGTACATACAGTCTCTGTGGCTCAGACAGCTCCTGCAGCACTAAACAGTATTTTCTTCCATTAGTTATTTTGACAATCTCCTCGTAATGCTCAGCATGTAATTTTGCATTAGAAACAAAGAGCAATTGTTTAATAAAATTCTGGTTTCTGGAGAAAGGGAAGAGAGAGGAGATCCCTTGGTCTCCCTCTGAAACTCTGTCTGCCAGAATACTCAAGGCAGGCAGTTGGAGAAAGTATATGACTGCACTCTGACCTCCATGTTAATGCCTCAGCTTTATTAGGCTAAATAATAGCCTCATAGCCACTAAAGTTTACAACATACCAGTTACAGAGAAATTCTGTGGGTCACTGTGGTCCCAGTCATCTCAGTGAAGAATGATATAGGCAGTGTTGAGAGACTGTAGAGCTGGGGAGGACATGAAGAGAGCCCTGAGCAAGGCTGGATTCTGAGGAGAATCCTTCATTGTCGCTGCAGGATAGAACATCTCATATATTTCTGCATTAACACTGGAGATTTGGTACAGAAAAGGCCTAAGCCAGTAAACATTTTTTTATTGGAGGAGGGAGACACTATTAGCAGGAGGCACTTTTAATTAATACGGTAGATAACATTTCCACATTGCCTTGGAGGTATGATGTGATGCATGTGCCACCCTTATCTCTAGCAACAGCTAGACACTGTTGGTTGCATATGTACCCCACCTGGGACTAGGATCTCATACCACAAACTCTTCTTTTGCCTTCTTTCTTGGGCCATCCTCTAGTTTCAAAGAGCTGGATTAGTAAGATGCTTGTTTTATTTGTACAAACTAATTAAAAAAAAAAAATCTGCCCTGTTGCTATTCCTCAGGAAAGTGTTGAAGAGACTATAATGGGGCCCCGTGCTCTATTCATGTTTTTTTCCGTCTGATTTATTTGATATTCTTAACATCTCACTGCTGTCTTCCAGATTGGAGAAATATTCACCACTGATGACTGCTCTCAGACATGCCAGTGCACAGAAAGCTCCACTGTTTTCTGCTCTGACAAAGTGTGTGGGTCTGATGAAATCTGTGGCATCTCCAACTACACTCGTGGATGCTACAGGAGTGAGTCAACCACTATCATATTTTCTTTGATGCTATGAAGTCTTGACTTATCTTATAAGACATCACTGGGTTGGGGATAGTTTCAAGGGAGCGTGTACAGAAGAAAAGCATGTAGGGGATCTTGCTCTGATGTTTCATTGCAGAAACAGTTTCCTTCCATTATTCCTGTTGTCAGATACAAGTAACTGCCTTAGAAAATACAGGGGATGTGCAGCATTAGGAGTCAGTGTAATCTAAGCAAGAACAGCTCTCTCAGTGTTGAATTATCTGAGAATCAAGTATTTCTCTTTCCTTTTCACTAGGTGGACCATGTATGCCAAACCCTTGTCAGAATGATGGTGTTTGCTCTGAAACTACCAATGGCACCTCTCTCCTCTTCTACTGTGAATGTTCAGAGCTGTACACAGGAGCAACGTGTGAGGCTGAAAAGATAGGTAATAAAACTATTTTGGATTTCCCTATCTGCATTACTCACACCACTTTCAAAAACGGATGTTATTATGGAGAAAACTGAGCTTGGTCTTCATTTTCATTATGTAAATTAGTAACCCAGTGGGTGAGAGCCTGTGGTCATCCAAGCAGAAAGAATTGTCAGATGCCCAGTGGAGAGGTGCCAGAAATCATGACAGCAGGGCTCTGTAGAGCATACAGGATCAGGGTCTGACACCACTCCAGAAAGCCACATTCATCAGAGAACACAGCGTAAACCAAACACATAGGCAAGGATTGAGAAAAAAAAATCTGTTCATAGTATGGTCAGCTTTCAGTGACAGGGCTCTTATTTCTTCTTCAGCTGAAGACCCTGACACAGAGGATCCCAAGGACTATACATATGCCATCGTCATCGGAGTCGTGGCAGGTGTAATTGTTATTGTCATTCTCATCTCATCTACAGTGTACCTGTACAGGTAAGGCTTTTTCCCAGCTTTGCTACATTCAAAATATTCAAAACATATACACCCCTTTTAGCACCTGTAAACCTCAAAACTCCCATCAGTCAAATACCTGCAAGGACCAGAAAGGAACCACAGCACTCTGAGATCTCTTTTGACCATTGTTTGACTTCTCACTATAGATAAGAACAGAAATTAAAATTGGTTGTTCTTTTTTTTTTCTCATTGTATAGGAGAAAGAGAAATGTGGATACACAGACAATAACAAGGGATTCTTCTTTGAAGTGGTCCAGGGATGAACTGGATGCCAGAGTACACGAGCAAGATTATGGCTGCATCGTAAACAGTGCATTTGATCAAAATGAATCCCAAAATACACAGCTATAGTTAACAATATTTTTCCAATTCATTTATCATACTTTCTGCTCTTGTATTTTAATTATATTTCTACTACTTTGAGAAGAAATAATAATAAATTTATCATTGCATTTGTTGAAAACCTTTGAAGTTGTGAATTTAAAATATCTCTTGGATCTCATGTTGTAGACCCAAAGTGGAATATGCTCTAACTGACATGAGAGACTCTGTTGTCTTCAAAGGCTGTTTGAAAAACACAAAGTCCAGACAGAATTTGACAGCCCAAGTGTGCTGCACACCATCACCTACTCACCTCTGAGAGATGTACAAAACTGATATGGTAGACTGTGGTAGATGTGTAGACTGATGTGGTCAGAATTCAAACTGAAAGAGAGTATGTTTATATTAGATATTAGGAAGTAAGTTTAGATTATATTTAAGAAAGAGATTCTTTACTGTGAGGGTGATAAGGCACTGGAAGAGGTTGCCCAGAGAAGTTGTGGCTGCCTTATTCCTGGAAGTGTTTAAGGCCAGGTTGGATGGAGCTATGAGCAACCTGATCTGGTGAAAGGTGTCCCTGCCCACAGCAGGGGGTTTGAAACTGGGTGATCTTTAAAGTCCTTTCCAACCCAAACCATTCTATGATTCTATGAACTAATTATAGCATCCCAGGCAGGTCTTCATGAGATCATCCTACCCAAATCCTTCCATGGGGAGGGAATTAATTGACTAACATGGACACAGTTCTTACTCCTTTTCTGGCAAGGCATATCCAACTGGGGAGAGAAATAATAAAGAAGACACTGAGCTCACCTGAGGACAGACGTAGTAAAACAAATAACCCCTATTGTCCCCCTTGGGAGTGCTGGACTGAAAGAAGTGATTGTTTGAAGGAGAACTGCCTCCTTGCTATTAGGGTGGAGGGGATAAGGGGGAAAAGAAATAGGGTTGTAATCAGTCCCTGTGGGGGCTAAGCAAGAGCATAACTTCACAAAAACTTTCTGAAGAATGAGGTCCTGTCATAAACTCTCCTTGAGGGTCTTTGCCGAAATGGTAAATGTGAGAGTAGATTTGCATCTGCTCAGCTCCAGAGCACGCTAAGGACCCCCCTACATCAGGAGAGCAAAGGCATTTGCAGCAAGGCCTGGTAACATGCCATATGTGAGACACCTACCCCATAACAGACCAGTCACAAAGCTCAGGGACTGAAGCACTGCCTGAGCCTTGTACAAGGCCAGAATGAATTTCCAGTGCTATGAGTGAAGCTTTGAGACATAAGTACTACAAAAGTTTCACTGATGCTTTTCCAGTTCACTGCAGGTTACCTCCTGATTGTTTAGGAATACTGAGCTTGAAGCTCAGTGTGCAGCTGCAGTGCAAGAGGCAAAGGGCCCTGAACTGGTGCCAGCCTTTTACATAACAAAGGGCATGGGGACCTGTGGCACCGTGAAGAGACACTCAGAGACATAGCAGGAACCAGGGACAGCAGACTTTCACACTTAGACTGTGAGGGTATAAAAACTGCAGGGTTTCTTTTTCTGGGGTCCCTCCTTGAAGGCACCCAGCTCAAGCTGCTCTTTTGTTGTTGCAATTTATTTTAAGGGTCTGGGTGTCTGAGACTCTGCTAGGGGAAACCTGGGGTCAAGCCAGTGAGGAAACCTTGTCTGACTGTGTGAGTGTGGGATGTACAGGGAGTCGAGCAGGGCACCCATTGGCTCACTGGAGCCACCTGCCCTGATGGGCAGTCCCAGCTCAGGTGGTGTGAGTGTGCCTGCCAGAGGGGCTCCTGGGTGGTCAGACAGAAGGGTTTCCTTAACAATGATTACAGTGAGGAACAGTGTGGGCCTCCTGTTGTTTCTGCCATAATGCCGGTTATTATTTACTTACCCTTTCTCCTTTCCTTTTTATCCATAAACTCATGTGTATTGTTAGCCAGAGAAGTATTTGTAGTCTCCATGGTGAGTTAGGTTATTCTGGTCCATTCAAGGACACACCAGCCTGCTCATGTGGCATGTTCATACACACAGGCCACAGCTATTTTGGAGAGTGTGTGAATAGAATGGGCCTTTCAACCTCATTACATAATGAAAATGAATCAACGAGAGAGACCTACTTGTGTACAAATGAACTGTCAACCCTATGATGGAATTTTACCGTGATTATAATGCCATCTGTCCTGCCTCTTCAGTGGCAGCTTCCTATTGCACTGTGTGCCTGCTACAGTGCGATTCTGTGACTGCTGAGTGGTGCTGACCATGCTCACCTCCCCTTGCACTGGTGGGAGCACAGGCCAGTCCCTGCCCTGTAGGATCCCAGCTTGGGCTCCCCCGGGCAACAAACCCTGCTGTGCCCAGGTAAGGCAGATTTCTGGGTTTCTACATATAAATATATATATATATATATTGGTCAATACCACAAGAATGGCCCTGGCTTTCCACTACAAAGCTTTGCAAATAGTTCAGACTTGAAGTAGGGGGTGATACAGAAAGAACTGCCACTCAGTGCTCCACTAAATTAACTAATTCATGTCACTAGAAGCCAGAAAGTTGACAAATCTCCCACTGCTCTCATCTTTTAAATAAACCAGCTTGCTCACCTGACTTTTTAAATGCTGGGCTTTAAATACACTGCTGAGTTCAACTCACCAAGAAGACAGTTTTATTGTTAGTGAACCTTCCTTTTTAGCACACTGTGCAGGCAACAGCCCAGGAGATGGCCGTACAGGATCGGGATCCCTCTCGGATCAAGGCTCTTGCTGGGCACAATCATCAGATTCCGCTGATGTCCCGAAAGAAATGCCTGGGCCGCGTCAAAAAATAAAAACGCATCCTAAAAATCTCTTTGCCATAAAACGACTACATTCTGAGCTCCATCGCTGTTGTTTCTCCTGACAGTGAAGAATTGGAACGGCAGCATATCCTTTCCCTTTCGGAAGGTTTCCTGGTGACGGATGCTCACTCACTGCAAGGCCGCGTAGAAGCAGAACCCCTTCGCGGCTGCAGGAGATGGCAAGGCGGCGGTGGCCCGTCTTCGCCGGGGACAGGACCAGATTTTCCACCCAGCGAGCGGATTAGCCAACACCCTCGGGAGTGGAGCCTCGGGAGGGGCGGGGCGGGGCGGGACGGGACGGGGGGGCTCCGGGATAGCCCTGGCAGTGATCCCGGCAGGATCTGCGCAAGCGCCTTCTCCTCGCTATTTATAGCGTGCCAGCGGGTCAGGAGTCTGGTCGCGGCAGCAGCGAGACGGGAGGTGGGTGAGCGGGGCGATGCGAGCAGGTGTCTGCCAGCAGGATGCGGCCACGTCGGGGGCCGGCGGCAGGCGCGGCTCTGGCGAGGGGCCGGAGGTGTCCCGGAGCCTGGGGACGGGCTGGGCACCGCGGGCACCCCCGGGGAGCTGCGTCCGGCCAGCAGAGCGGGCCTGGTCGTGGCACAAGCCGAGCCCCGAAGGGAGCGCGGGCGGGACGGGAGCGCGGCTACCGGGCGGCGGCGGGGGGAGATGGAGCCGGGGACGTTGGCGGGGGAGCCGACCTCATCCCCTGGGTGGGAGGGGCGGCCCTTCCGTGCCTTGTCCTGCGCCAGCGGGCGGGAGCGGCCGCCCCGAGCCGGGTCCGGCGCGGAGGGGCCGCCGCTCCGGCAGCTCATGCCCTCGGTGCCCGGCACTAACGCCCTCCGTGCCTGCCGTCCCGGCAGGTGCCTCTGCACACCCCACACCTCCCCGCTCCGCTGCGCCCTGCGCTGAGCCAGACCAGCTGCATCGCCGTGTCCTGACCGAAGGCTCCTGGGATGGCGTATAGCAAGCAGCACCCCGAGCCTGGCGACCTGATTGAGATCAAGCGACAACTTTACCAGCACTGGGCCCTCTACTTGGGGGATGGATATGTCCTCAACGTAACACCTGTAGGTAAGGCTGGTGCAGCCTGGCAGGGTGTAGAGGGGATGTTAACGTGCTTCAGGAGCCCTGTCTCCCTCTGTGGGCTGCTGGTGGACCCACCCTGTGTGTGGAGATGGATGGCCTTTCCAGGCGCAGCCAGAAAGCCATCTGAGGTCTTGGAGGGGCCATACAGGTTCTGCCTGGCTTATCTCCTTCCTGCCTTTCCCAGATGAAGGGGCCCCATCTCTGTTGGTGAGCACTGCCTCAATATTTACAAGAAAGGCCAAAGTGAAGAAGCAGCTCCTGAAGGAGGTGGTGGGAAATAATGACTGGGAGGTCAACAACAAGTATGACCGCTCCCACACCCCCCTCCCAGTGAAGGAGATCATCAAGCGTGCTGAGAGCTACATTGACACGGAGGTGACCTATGATGTGCTCGGCAAAAACTGTGAGCACTTTGTGACAATGCTCCGCTATGGCGAGAGTGTCTCTGACCAGGTAAGTACCATGAGATAAGCCCCTGTGTGCCTCACACAGCACCTCCTTGCTGCTCCCTGTGAGCCTGTGGACTGTGGACACAGCCCACAGACTGCCTGGGGACAGCCAAGTCCCAGGTGTGGGGTCCAAACCAGCACTGCCTCTGGCCTCACCAGACACCCTGGAGCAGGAGGGTCACTGTGGTCTATCTGCACCCTGACAGTGCCCTATTACTGAATGCCACACCCAAAGGCTAAAACCCGGACTGTAACCTCTTCTGCTTATGGAACAGATGTTTCTCATTCTTTTAACTGCCCTAATTATCCCTGCCTGCTTTTCATTAGCATGCCTGGGGGTAAATATTGCTTATCATGATTCTAGCCTATGTTTTCCTTTCCCTTTACAGGCCAAGATAGCAATTGGTAGCATGCTGGCAGTAGGAGCTGCTGCTGTTGTCTCCACTGTCTTGGTGGGCTTGCTCAGGGGCAGATCCAGAGAGAAGGAGTACTGACAGCTTGTCAGGAAGAGCTCAGAGCAAGGCAGGGAGCCTCTGGCCGTGGAGGGTTTCTGCCCAGCCTCTGCCGAAACTGCCATTGGGCCTACTAACAACAGCCACTCTGAAATAACCAAATCAAAGCCTTAATAAAATCTGAAAAACCACCAAAATAATATTACCGTAAAATCCTCTTCTATGCATTTGAGTGTAGCTTTGTGTGTGAGTGTAGCTTTGTGTGTGAGTGTAGCTTTGTGTGTGAGTGTAGCTTTGTGTGTGAGTGTAGCTTTGTGTGTGAGTGTAGCTTTGTGTGTGAGTGTAGCTTTGTGTGTGAGTGTAGCTTTGTGTGTGAGTGTAGCTTTGTGTGTGAGTGTAGCTTTGTGTGTGAGTGTAGCTTTGTGTGTGAGTGTAGCTTTGTGTGTGAGTGTAGCTTTGTGTGTGAGTGTAGCTTTGTGTGTGAGTGTAGCTTTGTGTGTGAGTGTAGCTTTGTGTGTGAGTGTAGCTTTGTGTGTGAGTGTAGCTTTGTGTGTGAGTGTAGCTTTGTGTGTGAGTTAAATACTTCAGCCTTCCTTCTCCCATCCCTTTAGAAAGAGTAAGTTGAGCATCACCATTCAATGTGACCCCAGCAGCACCAGCCTGTTTGCCATATCTGCTTTTTTTTTTCATTGCTTAGGATGATGTTTTGGTAGTTTGGGAGCATTTGCAAGCAAAGTATCCCTTCCTTCCCTGCCACCTCCACTCCAGTGCTTTGCTGAGGACTGGTGCAGGCTTTCCACCCACATCCTCTTTTTCTCAGCTGACTCCTATGGACTCTTTCTGTGTATAAGGGATTTTAACCTTAACTTTCTGACAACATAAAATAAAAGTATTGCTGAGCATATACTATGTGTCCTCCAGCTGAGGGCCTGTGTAGGTGGAAAACCCCTGGTTCCCAGGCCTACCAAAGGGCAAGCAAGGCATGTAAAGTGTCTTAGAGCTGGTGGCTGCAGTGCCTAAATTGAGCAGCTCCTGGGAGGGTGAGAGTTAGGAAGGAAGGGCAGGTGTTACAGGCTCTGTGATGGTGTTTTGCTCATTTTTTTGCCTGCCTTTCCCTGGCTCCTCTGGCTCCCTTTGGGAGTATCACACCCCCCCCCCCCAGTCTGGGGAAGTCTGACCAAAAAAAAACTCAGCTGGCTCTTTCTCAGTCATCTGTTCCACCAAAATTTTCCTCATCACCCCTGTAAGCCCAGTAATTGTTGGCATTAGACCTGAGCAAGCTTACTAGGTGATTTTTAAGGACCCTTTCAACCACCCCATTCTGTGGTACTACACTTTGAGCCACAGAAGCACTGAAGCTTAGAGAAAGACCACTGGAGATGGCAGGGGCAGCCAGGAGCCTTTGTCCCCCAGATCTGGGACCATTGTCTCTTCAGTGACCACAAGTGGTTTTTAAGCAGTTCATAGTCAGCACATCAGTCTTTCCCCAGCCACCAGAAAGGCAAAGCTGGGATCCCTGCAGTGCTGGGGGTGATGTCTGTGGAGAATGAGCTGTGAGGCACCTATTGCTCGTCTCCCAATGTCCTGAGCCCTGCTATTTCCTTGTCACAAAGCTGATGCGTGAATTATCTGAGAAGAAAACTTCTGAGAAAGTCTGGTTTGCTTCTGTTTACCTGGAGTATCTGGCCTAAGTGTTCCCTGCAGCCCACCTGTAAGAAATAGACTCCTGTGTTGCTTTTGTTTCAGGCAAGTGCCTGGCCTGTAAGGAGAGATGAGAGCAAAACAGCTTCTGTAAGAGGCTTGCTGGTTTCATCTGCTCTTAACATCTTGTCGAGGTTTAACCCCAGCCAACAACTAAGCTCACTCCCCTACCAGCAGGAGTTGAAGTCAAAAAACTTCCAATGCACACAAGCAAAGTAAAACAAGGACTTAATTCACTAGTTTTTTCACTGTCAGTTTTTTAATGTTTGAAATAACAAAGCCAAGACTTCTGGTTGTATTTTGTACTGCTGTCTTATTACCTTTAAATAAAATTCTTATTTTTAATACAGGAAAACATATTCTCATAAGAGTGAAACTGAAACTCCTTTTTTGATTCCTGCAGTTAACAAGGCTGTTAATTTACAAACAGACAAGAGATTAATCCCTACCTGTGCTCCAGGGCACAGCCAGCCTGCCCCTAAATTGGTGGGTTTGTGTAGGGATTTCATGTATCTGAATCTGTTGCACACCAGAGGATGAAAACCTGGGCTATTGAGTGTAAGCTGGGGAAGCCCCAGCACTGTGCAGTCCCACATGTTTTTGCAGGTGGGACTAACCTCATCCCTGCTCTTTGCTGCAAAGTCTTTTGCATTTATTTGAGGCCAGTTGGGATCTGTCTGCAGCATTCTCTGCCATTTTTGGTACCAGCCCACAGGGCCCTTCAGGGATTAATCATTACTGCAATATCCAAGACACAACCCAGCGCAGTCTCTAGCCTGGTCAACTGTAGGACAAAAGGGAAACAGTCCTTTCAAAATCACTGCCAAGCAGCTGACCCATGCTGTGGCTGGCTCTTGCTGTGAGCCGGGCAGTGTGCTCCTCCCAGGCAGCTGCACTACAGCTCCCTCTCTAAAGGCTTAAGGGTTGTGATCTGAATCATCCCCAAGGCTGCATAAAATGGATTTGACTGGCATACACTGAGTCTTAAGGGAAAAAAAAAAAGGCTTGGGGGTTTATGCTATGACAGGAGGAGAGCGTGGCTGCAGGTAGGGCTAGAAAGACTCAACCCCTGTTTGCTCTAGGGAATGGTTGATAAACAGATGCACTCACCTCTGTAAAAAAAGGTACACAAAAGGTGAACAAGAGCACCAGCCACACATAAACTCTCCAGATCACAGGAGTGCAAAGAGACTGTTGGAAAAGACGTGGAGAGCCATTAGATTTAAATCCCTTGCCAAGACGTGCATCTATTCCTAATGATTTGAGATGTCTAACAAGTGGCAAGCACGGAGGAGGCACTTGAAGGTGACATCAGTTCTTTGCCACAGAGATCTGGGAAGTTTTGATGCCAGATTCCCCATGGCATGGATCTGCCTGTCTTACTTAGGCTACTGCTGAAAGTTGCAGGTCAGGTGCCTGGGCAGAACCTGGAGCCCAAGTACTTTTGGGCAGCCACAGCTGATGCACATGTGTGCTTCCCCTCCCTCTGTGCTGGCCCTAGTGCCAGGCCTCCACCCGAATGCATCCTGTGCATGAAGGCCGGAGAGGAGCCGCGGGGCTTGGCCATTCCTGGCCTGGGCAGCACAGCTGGCAGCAGCTGTCTGTCTGCTCCATGCCCTGGATGAGTGCCTGGCAGGGCTGAGGTGGCCCAGACCTGTGTGAGCTCATGGTGCTCCGGGGGGACGTGAGGGGAGGCAACAGCAATCCCTGCCCACTCACTTCTCCAGCCAACAAGCCTCCTCCAACATGCAAATCCACAATCCACCCTATTGTGCTTCTTTTTTTCTTTGAGGAAGAAAAGCTCAGCAAGGAGCAAATGCTTTTTCTTCTCCTGGTTGCTGCTCAGTCTTTAAAGAAGAGGAGGACTGCTTCACTACTCACGTTCTTGTCAGCAGGTTGTAAGAGAAGTTTGAAAGGCTGTGGTGGGCTGGCCCTGGCTGGATGCCAGGTACCCACCAAAGCCTCTCTATCATTCCCCTCTGGAACTAGACAAGGGAGAGAAAATATAACAAAAGGTTCATGAGTTAAGGACAGGGAGAGGTCACTCACCGATTACAGTCATGGACAAAACAGACCTGACTTGTGGAAATTAACTGAATTTATTACCAATCAAAATCAGAGCAGGATAATAAGAAGCAAAACAAATCTTAAAACCACTTTCCCCACACCCTTCCCTCTTTCCTGGGGTCTACCTCCTCCCTCCCAATGGCACAGGGAGATGGCGAATGGGGGTTATGGTCAGCTCGTCACAGATCATTTCTGCTGCTGCTTCCTCCTCAGGGAGAGGAGTCCTTCCCCTGCTCCAGCGTGGGGTCCCTCCCATGGGAGACAGTCCTTCACGAGTTTCTCCAAAGTGAGTCCTTCCCACAGGCTACAGTTCTTCACAACTCAACTGCAGACCTCCATGGGCTGCAGGGGGACAGCCTGTGTCACCATGGTCTTCCCCACGGGCTGCACGGCAATCTCAGCTCTGCAGGGGAATCTCAGCTCTGGCACCTGGAGCACCTCATCCCCTCCTTCTGCGCTGACACTTGTCTGCAGAGTTGTTCCTCTCACATATTCTCATTCCTCTTCTCTTTGAGCTCAATTACATCTGTGCAATAACTTATTTCTCCTTCTTAAACACATTATCACAGAGGAACTACTACCATCCCTGATTGGCTTGGCCTTGGCCAGGGGTGGGTCCATCCCAGAGCTGACTGGCATTGGATCTGTCACACATAGGGGAAGCTCCAAGCAGCTTCTCACAGAAGCCACCCCTATAGCCCCCCTCTGCTATCAAAAGCTGGCCGTGCAACACAAAGGGCTGCCCTTTCCATGACATGGAAAGGAAATGCACATTTTGTTTGTGATTACCTGCATGTTACTGTGCACAGTATCAATATCAGCAAGGAAGAGGAAGAGATAGATTGCAAGCTGGAGGGCCAGGAGGACTGAAAAGACATCTAGGGACAGAAGAGCATTTGTGACCCTGGGAAGGAGGGGAGTTGGTGACCAAAGTCTGCAAGTGTGCTGTTAGCAGCCCCAAATACTAATGCTGTACAACTGCCTCCAAGTCAAATCCCTTCCTTTTCACCCTCCTGCTAATAGAAGAGCTGGGGAATCAAAAGTGCAGGAGCTACTTCCCAGCAGCCTGTTGCAAAGCTCACCATCTACACTGTTTTTTCTTGCACAAGTGATTTGGCACATTCTGATTCCTATATGGCAACAGAAAAACTGTGCAGCATATCATCTTCTGGAAGCACTTATTTTCCAAACCAAGATGTAGTCTCCTTTTTCAGCTCTGCTGCCTCCTTTCTCAAGGAAGAAGGACCTATGCAGAGCTTTTTGAAATGGAGAAGTAGGAGCTCACACAGAACAATTATTTTACATGCCAGAAAGTGCTATGGGGACAGAAAAATCCACAGTATCCCCTTTCCTAGCAGCCTCTCCAGCCAGGGTTATTTTGAGGCAAGAACAGGCATCTGCAGAGTATATGTTGCTTCAGCTCTACTCACTGTTTGTATAGATGAAATTCCAGAAGGGCTTTCCCTTGGAAAAGACACAGGGCCACAGTGATGCAGCTGATAGAAGAGAGTGGTCACAGCTGTAATGTCTTTGTGACTAAGGACCGTGCTCTGGGCACATACTGGTGATACATAATGATAATTTCTCCTTAACTACTGTCTTGGTTTACTGACAATATGTTTTAGGAGGTGGGACCTCTGATCAGGTCAAACCCTCTCCTTATTTATTTCCCTCCCTCTAAATCACTAATTTTTTTGAAACCACGAGGTGTCGCAGTGAAGTAGGAAAATTAATAACAGTTTTACTAAAAACTGAGAACAGAACAGAACAAAACAAAAAACACCCCAAACAAATAGCAGAAAAAACATGACCTAAACCACCCTCTCAGTTCTGTGCTACTGAGACGGCAGCGCCGTCCCGACTGAGGTCACGCGATCGCGATGTATCCGGAGCAGAGCCGTGGCTGCAAGAGCGGGCGACGCATGAAGTTCACAGAGGGGAGCTCTCACGAGTGCAGCTGCTCCCGGCCTGCATTGAGAGAGGGGGGACGTGTCCCTCGCGCTTTCCAAAACTCTATGATGATATGAAAAAATTTTTTAAAAAATTTCTACGTTTAGCTAACCTATAAAAACTACCCTCCTTCACCTGCCTGAGACATTCACTCATTTTTCAAGTTGTTTTTTTTTCCCAACAGAGGGAAGCAGCTGCTCTCCCAAAGCCCCAGTTTTACATCAAGTCCTGCTCCTTTGCCTCCTCACCCAGCTAGAAAGGGCTCAGCCTCCTCTAATTCCCTTTATTCTTTTGGAAGAGTTAAAGTTATGTCATGGGATTTTTTTCCCCCAGTTCTGACGTCCCTACAACCAATCTACCCTCTGACAGGAATTACAGCTTTTCACATCTTTGTTAAACTTGAAGCCCTGTGTGACCTTTCTCCCCACTAAGTGATACCACAAAGGATAAAACTCTGTGGTGAGCACAGCGTATGACAAACAATGGGTATGCAGCACTTACTCAAAACAGCAGAGTGGAACCAACAAACTGAATCAGGACAGATGTTTAACCACAGTTAAGCAACCAAAGCATCTCGACCTTCCCTGCTCAAGACATAAAACACAAACCCAAGCAGCTCCCACAGTGCAAGTTTAGTGCTGCAGGTGGTTTCTGCTTTCAGGTCCTGGGTTTAGGCTCTATAAGAAGAATAGAAAACAGGTCAAATTCCATAGACAAACTTTTTTTTCCTTAAGATGCTGCAGAGCCACTTTACTACCCTTCATCTGCAGTGGCTTGTTTCCTTTGTTTCATTCTACAGCTATGATTTTAATACCCAGCTTAAGCTGCTGTTGCTTTTTCATTACTAATTTGCTCAGCGGTCCTGGGACTCAAGCACATTTCTACACAAACAGCTAATTATCTTCACATACATTTCATTAAACGGCATTATTGCTGGCTCCTACATATCTCTTTTCAGCTTATGAATAAACATTTTTTTAAGTAATGGCAAGAAAGTCTATTCTGTGGTCACTGTTATATTCTGCCCTTTCATGTGACTCTACTCCTGTACCTGTTCCAGAAATACCAGCTACAATAAGCAAAGCCCTCCTAACACCACAAAAAACCTCCCAGCATTGGAGTTTGAGGATCAAAACCAATTCAAACCCCTCTTCTTCTGTATTTTATACAGTTACTGGGGAATGAAGTTTGGTTTATCAGCACCTTTGAGAAAAGTGCACTCCCACCCACAACCCTGCACACCGACCTTCGAGCAGGCAGCAGCATCCCATGACTGCACCCAGCAAACCCACCTGATCAACTCTGGCACGCACTGGATGTTGGGAATATTTGGGAGGTGAAGGCCATGGGGAGGCCATGGATACCTCCTACTCTGACAGTGATATCACTGCATGGACCATTTTCAAAGCCTCGCCTGTAAGGCGAGATGAGAGCAAAACAGCTGTCTCTAAGAGGCTTGCTGATTTTGTCTGCTCTTCACATGCTGTCAGGGTTTAACCCCAGCCAGCAACTAAGCACCAGGCAGCTGCTCACTCTCTCCCGTACCAGCTGGACTGGGGAGAAAACTGGAAGAGTTGAAGTGAAAAAACTTGTGGGTTGAGAAAAACTTGATTTAGCAGGTAAACCAAAAGCCACGCATGCAAGCAAAGTAAAACATGGAATTATTTCATTGTTTTTTTTCAACATCAGTTTTTCAATGTTTGAAGTAGCAAAGCCAAGACCTCTGGTCATGTTTTGTAGTGCCCTTTGTTATTACATTTAAATAAAGTTCTTATTTTTAATACAGGAAAACATATTCTCTTAAAACTGAAACCGAAATCCTTTCTTGATTCCAGGAAACATAATTGAAACTTCTTTCACAGATAAACTAATTAGGAGGTTGTACAGCAATCTCTGAGCTTTAACCTTTCTGTACTCAGAGAATTGCAAGGGAGTGCTGTGTGAGGACAGCACATGCACCTCTCGCATCTCCAATTCATCCTGTAAAGGACAAGAATACTGGAATTACTTCATCTGGTGAACTTTCTTTTAGTTCGTGAAAGCTGTAGCATTTCACTGAATGCAGGGGTTTGCACCTGTACTGTGCTTGTCTGTGCAGTCAACCTTAACGTGATTATTAAGGGTTACCATTCCATGAAGTCTGGTGGATGCCAGGATTTGGTGGAACACTGCCTGAACCACGAGAGACCAGAGAGCCACTCGCTCACTCCCCTACCAGCAGGACTGGGGAGAGAACCAGAAGAGCTGAAGGGAAAAAACTTGTGGGTTGAAACAAACATGGTTCAGGAACTAAATCAAAAGCCATGCACACAAGCAAAGCAAAACAAGGACTTAAGTCACCAGTTTTTTCAGTGTTAGTTTTTTAATATTTGAAATAACAAAACCAAGACTTCAGGTTGTGTTTTGTAAAGCCCCTTGCTATTACATTTAAATAAAATTCTTTCTTTTAACACAGGAAAACATTCTCCTAAAACTGAAACTGAAAGTCCTTTCTTGATTCCTGGAAATGTGATCAAAACTGCTTTCCTGCCTAAACTATTTTGGTGGTTTGACAGCAATCCCTGAGCTTTAGACTTTCTGTATTCAGAACATTGTCTGCAACACCTAGCAAGGGAGTACTGGGTGAGAGCAGCACATGCACCTCTCCCATGTCTAATTCAGCCTGGAAAGGGTAACAATACTGCCATTACTTCAGCTGGTGAATTTTCTTGTACTTCTTGGAAGCTGTAGCATTTCACTAAATGCGGGGGTTTGCTCCTGTACCGTGCTTGTCCGTGCAGTCAGGCTCAGGCTGATTATTATTTGGTTGCCTTTCCATCAAGCCTGGTGGGTGCACAGACAGGATTTGGTTGAACGCTGCCTGAACCACGAGGTGAGTGTGTGAGGAGGAGCAGCAGAATCCATCACTTGCCATAGAGTTGTTTATGCTCAAGATGACCTCAGAGCTGGAAGATCCTAAGAATATTCAGTGTGGGAATATTCAGGACTGGACGGTTCCCAGGCAGAGGCGGCAGTGACGCCAGGAACGACTCTGCCCTTCTGGCATCCGCGGGGCGCGCTCGGCCCGTCTCCATTTAGAGCGGGCCGGCAGCGCGGTGGTGGCAGCAGCGGAACAGAGGCGAGGGTGAACGGGGAGATGTGAAAGGGCAGAGAGCGGAGCTCGGGGGATGCGAGAGGGTGTCTGCCAGCAGGATGCGGCCCCGTCGGGGGCCGGCGGCGGGCGCGGCTCTGGCGAGGGGCCGGAGGTGCCCCGGAGCCTGGGGACGGGCTGGGCACCGCGGGCACCCCCGGGGAGCTGCGTCCCGCCAGCGGAGCGGGCCTGGTCGTGGCACAAGCCGAGCCCCGAAGGGAGCGCGGGCGGGACGGGAGCGCGGCTACCGGGCGGCGGCGGGGGGAGATGGAGCCGGGGAGGGCGGCGGGGGAGCCGACCTCATCCCCTGGGTGGGAGCGGCAGCCCTTCCGTGCCTTGTCCTGCGCCAGCGGGCGGGAGCGGCCGCCCCGAGCCGGGTCCTGCGCGGAGGGGCCGCCGCTCCGGCAGCTCATGCCCTCGGTGCCCGGCACTAACGCCCTCCGTGCCTGCCGTCCCGGCAGGTGCCTCTGCACACCCCACACCTCCCCGCTCCGCTGCGCCCTGCGCTGAGCCAGACCAGCTGCATCGCCGTGTCCTGACCGAAGGCTCCTGGGATGTCACGCCGCAGGCACCAGCCCAAGCCTGGCGACCTGATCAAGGTCAAGCGATCAGTTTACCAACACTGGGCCCTCTACTTGGGGGATGGATATGTCGTCCACCTGACGTCCGCAGGTAAGGCTGGTGCAACCTGGCAGGGTGCAGAGGGGGTGCTGGGGTCCACCAGCAGCCCTGTCTCCCTCTTTAAGCTGGTGGTTGACCAAAACTGTGTATATAGATGGCCTTTCGAAGAGCTGCCACAAACCCATTTGAGGTCTTGGAGGGGCCACATAGGTTCTGCCTGGCTTATCTCCTTCCTGCCTTTCCCAGATGAAGGGATCCGATGCCTGTCAGGCAGTAGTGACCCAATAATGAGGAAAAAGGCCAAGGTGAAGAAGCAGCTCCTGAAGGAGGTGGTGGGAAATAATGCCTGGGAGGTCAACAACAAGTATGACCGCTCCTACACCCCCCTCCCAGTGGAGGAGATCATCAGGCGTGCTGACAGCTACATTGGCATGGAGATGACCTATCGTGTGCTTCGCAAAAACTGTGAGCACTTTGTGACAATGCTCCGCTATGGCAAGAGTGTCTCTGACCAGGTAAGTACCATGAGATAAGCCCCTGTGTGCCTCACACAGCACCTCCTTGCTGCTCCCTCTGAGCCCCTGGACAGGGACACAGCCCGCACACTGTCTGGGGACAGTCAAGTCCCAGGTGTGGGGTCCATACCTCTGCTGCCTCTGGCCTCACTGGAGACCCTGGAGCAGGAGGGTCACTGTGGTCTATCTGCACCCTGACAGTGCCCACTTACTGAATGCCACAGCGTAAGGCTAAAACCCTGGGTGTTATCCCTTCTGCTTATGGGGAAAATGTCCCTCATTCTTTTAATTGCCCTGATTATCCCTGCCTGTTTTTCATTAGCATGCCTGGGGGTAAATATAATTGCTTCTTTTGTTTCCAGCATGTGTTTTCCTTTCCCTTTACAGGCCAGGAATGCAATTGTAGGGATAGGCGTGTTGGCTCAGAGTGCATCCAGCATTGGATTTGTCATTAGTGCAACTCTGGCTGCGGCTGCTGCTCCTCTTGGTGCTGTTGCTGTTGCTGTTGTTGGTGCTGGTGCTAGTGTTCTTGCTGCTACTTTTGCTGCCCTAAAACTGAAGTTTCGGAGATTGTAGGACAAATTTTACAAAGCAAGCTACTGCATGTTCATTATTATATTATTTTATTATTATGCTTTATGTAATTGACTGGCTAGATTATCATAAATATTAAAATATTGTAATAAAGAAAAAATTGTGTAAGCAATGTGTAATAAAAAGTCACTTGCTCCTATTTCTGAGGGGGAAAACCAAAAGGATTTTACAGCCACACATGATGGAGTGTACCCATGGGCCAACCAGGGAAATGCTGGTGACAATGGCACTGGGCAGCCCCTCGTCCCAGCACTCCACAGGCTGAAAGAGAGGAGATTTACAGGTCAGGAGAGCAATTCGAGTTTGGACCCCTCTCGCTAGTAAAGTGGTCACTTTTTTAGCTGCCGGTGGTGTGGCTGTGGCTACTGCTGGTGCTGGTCCTCTTGGTGCTGCTGTTGGTCCTGCTGCTCTGCTTGACAGAGCTCAGAAGGCCGTATTGTCAAAGGCAATCAGGAAAATCAGGAAAAAGAGAAAGAGAAACTGATGGGCCATTTGAAAGACCTCCAAGCTAGGCAGGGAGCCCCTGGCTGGGGGTGGTCATTCCCCAGTATTTGCCACACCTGATACTAAAGACTACAAGCAACTTTGCTGCCCTTCCTGAGATAATTAATAATTACAAGAAAATCTAAACAAACAAACTCATGTTGACCTAAATACCTCTTCTATCTATTTGAGTATAGTCTTGTGTGCAAGTGCAACAATTCAACCTTGCTTCTCTCTTCCATTCCATTAAGAAATAACAAGTCAAGAGTGGAAGGTGATTGCCAGCAACCTTAACCTATTTCCCACATTTGCTTTTATGGGATGATTTTATGCCCGGGATAATTTTTGTGACAATCTGAGAGCACTTGAAAGAAACTTTTCTGTTCTTCCCCCCCAACCTCCACTGTTTTGCTGAGGACTGGTGCAGGCTTTCTATCCAACCTTCCTGTTTTTATCAGCTACCAGCTGGGGGCTGTTTCTGTGAATATCTGATTTTAAACCTAACTTTCTGAAAAAGTAAAATAAAAGTATTGCTGAGGGTTTACTGTGTGTCCTTCAGCTGAGGGCCTGTGTAGGTGGAAAACTACCAGTTCCCAGGCCTGCAAAAGGGCAAGCAAGGCATGTGCAGTGTCTTAGAGCCTGTGCTGCCTGCAGGATCTAAACTGAGCAGCTCCTGGGAGGGTAGAGGTAGGAAGGAAGGGCAGGTCCTCTAGGCTGTATCCCTCAGTGTTTTCAAGGAGTGCTCTGATTTGGACAGGATGGTGTTCTGTTCATTTTTTTTCCTGCCTGGAAAGTGTTCCTTTCCCTGGCTCCTCTGACTCCCTTTGGGAGCAGCAGACCCCCAAATCTGAGGTGGCTTTTAAGCAGTTCATAGTCAGCACATCAATCTTTCCCCAGCCACCAGAAAGGCAAAGCTGGGATCCCTGCAGTGCTGGGGGTGATGTCTGTGGAGAATGAGCTGTGAGGCACCTATTGCTCATCTCCCAATGTCCTGAGCCCTGCTATTTCCTTGTCACAAAGCTGATGTGTGGATTGTCTGAGAAGAAAACTCTTTTGGAAAAGTCTAGTTTATTGCTCTTTACTTGGAGTATCTAGCCTAAGTGTTTGGAAGCCTGTGGCTTGTAAGGAGAGATAAGAGCAAAACAGCTTCTGTAAGAGGCTTGCTGGTTTTATCTGCTCTTCACATCTTGGCGAGGTTTAATCCCAGCCAGCAACTAAGGACCAGAGAGCCACTCGCTCAATCCCCTACCAGTAGGACTGGGGAGAGAACCAGAAGAGCTGAAGGGAAAAAACTTGTGGATTGAAACAAACATGGTTCAGGAACTAAATCAAAAGCCACGCACACAAGCAAAGCAAAACAAGGACTTAAGTCACCAGTTTTTTCAGTGTTAGTTTTTTAATATTTGAAATAACAAAACCAAGACTTCAGGTTGTGTTTTGTAAAGCCCCTTGCTATTACATTTAAATAAAATTCTTTCTTTTAACACAGGAAAACATTCTCCTAAAACTGAAACTGAAAGTCCTTTCTTGATTCCTGGAAATGTGATCAAAACTGCTTTCCTGCCTAAACTATTTCGGTGGTTTGACAGCAATCCCTGAGCTTTAAGCTTTCCGTATTCAGAACATTGTCTGCAACACCTAGCAAGGGAGCACTGGGTGAGAGCAGCACATGCACCTCTCCCATGTCTAATTCAGCCTGGAAAGGGCAAGAATACTGCTATTACTTCAGCTGGTGAATTTTCTTGTACTTCTTGGAAGCTGTAGCATTTCACTAAGTGCAGGGGTTTGCTCCAGTACCGTGCTTGTCTGTGCAGTCAGGCTCAGGCTGATTATTATTTGGTTGCCTTTCCATCAAGCCTGGTGGGTGCACTGACAGGATTTGGCTGAACACTGCCTGAACCACGAGGTGAGTGTGTGAGGAGGAGCACCAGAATCCATCACTTGCCATAGAGTTGGTTTTGCTCAAGATGACCTCAGAGCTGGAAGATCCTAAGAATATTTAGTGTGGGAATATTCACGCATTGTGCTTACTTTGGGCTGTTTTCTGTCTGCCTTGAGAAGTGGAGTTTCTGCAGGAGATGACAATGTTGCAAAAAAAGATTTAAAACCCGTCCTTCAGAGGCCTGGGCTTTCAGGTGTTGGGGGAAGAGGGATAAGAAGCTCAGAGACTGTAAGACAACTTTTACAAAGCAAGCTAGTGCATTATAAAATTATATTATGATAACATGCTTATTATTATAGTATTATATTATTATGGTTATGTAATTGACTGGGTAGATTATCATAAATATTAAAACAATGTAATACATAAAAAACTGTGTAAGGAATGTGTAAGAAAAAGGCTCTTGCCCCTATTTCCGAGGGGGAAATCCAAAAAGATAATCATATGTGTGTTTGTGTATGTTAGGATTTTAAAAGCCTCTAGACAGGATATTACAGCCACACATGACGGACTGTGCCCATGGGCCAACTTGGGAATGCTGATGACAATGGCACTGGGCAGCCTCTCGTCCCAGCACTCCACAGACTGAAAGAGAGGAGATTAACAAGAGCAGGAGAGGAGCTCCTACTTACCCACAGTCATTGGTGCCACCACCACACCTGCCCACGCAGTAACTGATGGAGGGAGAATCAGGAAAACACAAGCCTTGCATGTAGCTGATCCCGTGGTGGAGCACAGCTGGCTTAGCACTTGACGGTACCTCGGAGCAGGGACTTCTGTTAGCCCTGGAGAAGGCAGTGGCTCTTTCCAGAGGACAATGTACGTGGAGAGGGATTGGGGCAGAGTACACAGAGCAAAATTAGGATGAAGTTTTGAAAGAGGCTGTAATGGGAGAGGAAATGCTTCCACTTTATTGCAAACAGTGTTTTCCCCTCGGTACCGGGGGCCACAGAGAGGGAGCCAGGTGTGAACACTGGCAGCACCTCCTGTGGCTGCAGCTTGGCATGTCATGGCATTTTCTCTTCCACGGTGTATGTGGACGGAAAGACACAGAAATTGGTGAAACAACACAGCAGCTCCTAAGCCAAGCTTTAATCAGGAGCCAGAGGTTCTTGTTCTGCAGTCAATGCTGCTGCCCTTCACTGAAAGGGAGGACCACTCAAAGGTAGAGGCTCCCTGCAGGGTGGCGGTGCACGCCATCCTCGGCGGCAGGACCACAGTTCCCACCCAACAGGTGGTTTTTGGCAACCCCCCGGGGAGCGGAGCCCCGAAATGAGGGGCGGGACAGGACGGGACGGTTCCCAGGCAGAGGCGGCAGTGACGCCAGGAAGGACCCTGCCCTTCTGGCTTCCGCGGGGCGTGCGCGGCCCGTCTCCCTTTAGAGCGGGCCGGCAGCGCGGAGGCGGCAGCAGCGGAACAGGGGCGAGGGTGAGCGGGGCGATGCTAAAAGGCAGGGAGCGGAGCTCGGGGGATGCGAGCGGGCGTCTGCCAGCGGGATGCGGCCCCGTCACGGGCCGGCGGCGGGCGCGGCTCTGGCGAGGGGCCGGAGGTGCCCCGGAGCCTGGGGACGGGCTGGGCACCGCGGGCACCCCCGGGGAGCTGCGTCCGGCCAGCGGAGCGGGCCCGGCCGCGACACAAGCCGAACTCCGAAGGGAGCGCGGGCGGGACGGGAGCACGGCGACCGGGCGGCGGCGGGGGGAGATGGAGCCGGGGACGTTGGCGGGGGAGCCGACCTCATCCCCTGGGTGGGAGCGGCAGCCCTTCCGTGCCTTGCCCTGCGCCAGCGGGCGGGAGCGGCCGCCCCGAGCCGGGTCTGGCGCGGAGGGGCCGCCGCTCCGGCAGCTCATGCCCTCGGTGCCCGGCACTAACGCCCTCCGTGCCTGCCGTCCCGGCAGGTGCCTCTGCACACCCCACACCTCCCCACTCCGCTGCGCCCTGCGCTGAGCCAGACCAGCTGCATCGCCGTGTCCTGACCGAAGGCTCCTGGGATGGCGTATAGCAAGCAGCACCCCGAGCCTGGCGACCTGATCGAGATCAAGCGATTAGTTTACCAGCACTGGGCCCTCTACTTGGGAGATGGATATGTCGTCCACCTGACATCTGCAGGTAAGACTGGTGCAACCTGGCAGGGTGCAGAGGGGGTGTTGGGGTCAACCAGGAGCCCTGTCTCCCTCTGTGGGCTGCTGGTTGACCAAAACTGTGTATATAGATGGCCTTTTGAAGAGCTGCCACAAACCCATTTGAGGTCTTGGAGGGGCCACATAGGTTCTGCCTGGCTTATCTCCTTTCTGCCTTTCCCAGATGAAGGGATCCGATGCCTGTCAGGCAGTAGTGACCCAATAATGAGGAAAAAGGCCAAGGTGAAGAAGCAGCTCCTGAAGGAGGTGGTGGGAAATAATGCCTGGGAGGTCAACAACAAGTATGACCGCTCCTACACCCCCCTCCCAGTGAAGGAGATCATCAAGCGTGCTGAGAGCTACATTGGCATGGAGATGACCTATAATGTGCTCTGGGAAAACTGTGAGCACTTTGTGACAATGCTCCGCTATGGCAAGAGTGTCTCTGACCAGGTAAGTACCATGAGATAAGCCCCTGTGTGCCTCACACAGCACCTCCTTGCTGCTCCCTGTGAGCCCCTGGACAGGGACACAGACCACAGACTGTCTGGGGACAATCAAGTCCCAGGTGTGGGGTCCAAACCAGCACTGCCTCTGGCCTCACCAGACACCCTGGAGCAGGAGGGTCAGTGTGGTCTGTCTGCTCCCTGGCAGTGCCCTCTTACTGAATGCCACAGCCTAAGGGTAAAAACCTGGGTGTTAGCCCTTCTATTTATGGGGTAGATATCTGTCATTCATTTAATTGCCCTGATTATACCTACCTGCTCTTTATTATCATGCTTGAGGGTAAATATAATTGCTTCTTTTGTTTCCAGCATGTGTTTTCCTTTCCCTTTACAGGTCAGGGGAATTCAAGAGATGATGGATTTCAATCGTGAAGTGTTCACTTATGTACTTGTGGGTGGTACAGTTCTGGTTTTGACTACTTTTGGTGTTAGTCCTGTTGCTGCTATTCTTGCTACTAATATTAGTGCTACTGCTGGTACTGGTTTCCTTAAGCTGTTTTTAAGCTCTTCTTCTAGACAATCGTGGAATGAGAAAAAGAGCAACTGATGGGCCATTTGTAAGATCTCCAAGCAAGGCAGGGAGCCCCTGGCTGGGGGTGGTCATTCCCCAGTATTTGCCACACCTGATACCAAAGGCTACAAGCAACTTTGCTACCCTTCCTGCAATAGTTAATAATTACAAGAAAATCTAAACAAACAAACTCATGTTGACCTAAATTGCTCTTCTATCTTCTTAGTATAATCTTGTGTGCAAGTGCAACAATTCAGCCTTGCTTCTCTCTTCCATCCCATTAAGAAATAACAAGTCAAGAGTGGAAGATAATTGCCAGCAGCACTAGCCTGGTTGCCACATTTGCTTTTATTTCATTGCCTGCGATGATTTTTGTGGCAGTCTGGGAGCACTTGAAAGCAAATTATCCCTTCCTTCCCTCCATCTTGCCTCCAGTGTTTTGCTGAGGACTGGTGCAGGCTTTCTATCCAACCTTCCTGTTTTTATCAGCTGAATCCTGTGGTCTGTTTCTGTGAATATCTGATTTTAACCTTACCTTTCTGAAAAAGTTAAATAAAAGTATTGCTGAGGTTTTACTGTGTCCTTCAGCTGAGGGCCTGTTTGGGTGGAAAACTACCAGTTCCCAGGCCTGCAAAAAGGCAGACAAGGCATGTGCAGCATCTTGGAGCCTGTGCTGCCTGCAGGATCTAAACTGAGCAGTCCCTGGGAGGATGGGAGGTAGGAAGGAAGGGCAGGTCCTATAGGCTGTTCCCCCAGTGTTTTCAAGCAGTTCTCTGATTTGGACAGGATGGTGTTCTGTTCATTTTTTCCCTGCCTGGAAAGTACCTCTTTCCCTGGCTCCTCTAACTCCCTTTGGGAGCAGCAGACCCCCAAATCTGGGTAAGTCTGACAAAAAAACCTAGCTGGATCCTTCTCAGACAACTGTTTGTTCCACTGTGCCATCACACTTTCCCTCTTCACCTCTATAAGCCCACTGATTGTTGGCATTAGGCCTGAGCAAGTTTACTAGATGATTTTTAAGGTCCCTTTCAACCAACCCATTCTATGATTCTAATCTTTGGGCTGCCAAAACGCTGGAGCTTAGAGAAAGATCCCTGGAGATGACAAGGGCAGCCAGGAGCCTTTGTCTCCCAGATCTGGGACCATTGTCTCTTTGGTGACCACAAGTGGATTTTAAGCAGTTCGTAGTCAGCATATTAGTCATTCCCCAAACCAAAAGGATAATCCTGTGTGATTGTGTATGTTAGGATTTTAAAAGCCTCTAGACAGGATTTTACAGCCACACCTGATGGAGTGTACCCATGGGCCAACTTGGGAATGCTGGTGACAATGGCATTGGGGAGCCCCTCATCACAGCACTCCACAGGCTGAAAGAGAGGAGATTAACAAGAGCAGGAGAGGAGCTCCTACGTACCCACAGTCATTGGTGCCACCACCACACCTGCCCACGCAGTAACTGATGGAGGGAGAATCAGGAAAACACAAGCCTTGCATGTAGCTGATCCCGTGGTGGAGCACAGCCGGCTTAGCACTCGAGGGTACCTCAGAGCAGGGACTTGTGTTGGCCCTGGAGAAGGCAGTGGCTCTTTCCAGAAGACAAGGTACATGGAGAGGGATTGGGGCAGAGTACACAGAGCAAAATTAGGATGAAGTTTTGAAAGAGGCTGTAATGGGAGAGGAAATGCTTCCACTTTATTGCAAACAGTGTTTTCCCCTTGGTACCGGGGGCCACAGAGAGGGAGCCAGGTGTGAACACTGGCAGCACCTCCTGTGGCTGCAGCTTGGATTTCCTGGCATTTTCTCTTCCACGGTGTATGTGGACAGAAAGACACGGAAATTGGTGAAACAGTACAGCAGCTCCCAAGCCAGGCTTTAATCAGGAGCCAGAGGTTCTTGTTCTGCAGTCAGTGCTGTTGCCCTTCACTAGAAGGGAGGACCACTCGAAAGTATAGGCTCCCTGCAGGGTGGCGGTGCACGCCATCCTCGGCGGCAGGACCACAGTTCCCACCCAACAGGTGGTTTTGGCAACCCCCTGGGGAGCGGAGCCCCGAAATGAGGGGCGGGACAGGACGGGACGGTTCCCAGGCAGAGGCGGCAGTGACGCCAGGAAGGACCCTGCCCTTCTGGCTTCCGCGGGTCGTGCGCGGCCCGTCTCCCTTTCGAGCAGGCCGGCAGCGCGGAGGCGGCAGCAGCGGAACAGGGGCGAGGGTGAGCGGGGCGATGCTAAAAGGCAGGGAGCGGAGCTCGGGGGATGCGAGCGGGCGTCTGCCAGCAGGATGCGGCCCCGTCGGGGGCCGGCGCCGGGCGCGGCTCTGGCGAGGGGCTGGAGGTGTCCCGGAGTCTGGGGACGGGCTGGGCACCGCGGGCACCCCCGGGGAGCTGCGTCCCGCCAGCGGAGCGGGCCCGGCAGCGGCACAAGCCGAACTCCGAAGGGAGCGCGGGCGGGACGGGAGCGCAGGGACCGGACGGCGGCGGGGGGAGCCGGGGAGGGCGGCGGGGGAGTCGACCTCATCCTCTGGGTGGGAGGGGCGGCCGCTCCCGCCCGCTGGCGCAGGGCAAGGCACGGAAGGGCCGCCCCGAGCCGGGTCCGGCGCGGAGGGGCCGCCGCTCCGGCAGCTCATGCCCTCGGTGCCCGGCACTAACGCCCTCCGTGCCTGCCGTCCCGGCAGGTGCCTCTGCACACCCCACACCTCCCCGCTCCGCTGCGCCCTGCGCTGAGCCAGACCAGCTGCATCGCCGTGTCCTGACCGAAGGCTCCTGGGATGTCACGCCGCAGGCACCAGCCCAAGCCTGGCGACCTGATCAAGGTCAAGCGATCAGTTTACCAACACTGGGCCCTCTACTTGGGGGATGGATATGTCGTCCACCTGACGTCCGCAGGTAAGGCTGGTGCAACCTGGCAGGGTGCAGAGGGGGTGCTGGGGTCCACCAGCAGCCCTGTCTCCCTCTTTAAGCTGGTGGTTGACCAAAACTGTGTATATAGATGGCCTTTCGAAGAGCTGCCACAAACCCATTTGAGGTCTTGGAGGGGCCACATAGGTTCTGCCTGGCTTATCTCCTTCCTGCCTTTCCCAGATGAAGGGATCCGATGCCTGTCAGGCAGTAGTGACACAACATTGAGCAAAAAGGCCAAGGTGAAGAAGCAGCTCCTGAAGGAGGTGGTGGGAACTGATGCCTGGGAGGTCAACAACAAGTATGACCGCTCCCGCACCCCCCTCCCAGTGGAGGAGATCATCAAGCGTGCTGAGAGCTGCATTGGCATGGAGGTGACCTATAATGTGTTCTGCGAAAACTGTGAACACTTTGTGACAATGCTCCGCTATGGCAAGAGTGTCTCTGACCAGGTAAGTACCATGAGATAAGCCCCTCTGTGCCTCACAGAGCACTTCCTTGCTGCTCCCTGTGAGCCCCTGGACAGGGACACAGCCCGCACACTGTCTGGGGACAGTCAAGTCCCAGGTGTGGGGTCCATACCTCTGCTGCCTCTGGCCTCACTGGAGACCCTGGAGCAGGAGGGTCACTGTGGTCTGTCTGTACCCTGACAGTGCCCTCTTACTGAATGCCACAGCCTAAGGGCAAAAAACCCTTCCGTTTGTGGGGTAGATGTCCCTCATTCTTTTAATTGCCCCGATTATCCCTGCCTGCTTTTCATTAGCATGCCTGGGGGTAAATATATTTGCTTCTTTTGTTTCCAGCCTGTGTTTTCCTTTCCCTTTACAGGCCAAGATAGGAGTTGGTAGCATGCTGGCACTAGGAACTGGTATTCTTGTCTGCGCTGGTATTGCTGTCGGCTGCGCTGCCTTTGGCTCGCCCAGGGGCAAATCCAGAGAGAAGGAGTAGTGGCCATGGAGGGTCACTGCCCAGCCTTTGCCAAAACTGCCATTGGGCCTACTAACAACAGCTACTCTTGCTGAAATAACCAAAGCAAAGCAGTAATAAAATGTAAAAAACCCAAAATAATATTGCCATAAAATCCATTGTGCTTGCTTTGAGCTGTTTTCTGTTTGCTTTGAGAAGTGGAGTTTCTGCAGGAGATGACAATGTTGCAAAAAAGACTTAAAACCCGTCCTTCAGAGGCCTGGGCTTCCTGGTGTGGGGGTAAGAGGGATAAGAGGCTCAGAGATTGTAAGAGAACTTTTACAAAGCAAGCTGCTGCATGTTTATTTTTATAGTATTATATTATTATGCTTTATGTAATTGACTGGCTAGTTTATCATAAATATTAAAATAATAATATAATAGATAAAAAATTGTGTAATGAATGTGTAAGAAAAAGTCTCTTGCCCCTTTTTCTGAGGAGGAAATCCAAAAGGATAATCCTGTGTGACTGTGTATGTTAGGATTTTGAAAGCCTCTAGACAGGATTTTACAGCCACATGTGATGGAGTGTACCCATGGGCCAACCTGGGAAATGCTGGCGACAATAGCACTGGGCAGCCCCTCGTCCCAGCACTCCACAGGCTGAAAGAGAGGAGATTAACAAGAGCAGGAGAGGAGCCACCACCACACCTGCCCACACAGTAGGGTTGGCCCTGGAGAAGGCAATGGCTCTTTCCAGAGGACAATGTATATAGAGAGGGGTTGGGGCAGAGTACACAGTGCAAAATGAGGATGAAGTTTTGAAAGAGGCTGTAATGGGAAAGGAAATTCTGCCACTTTATTGCAGACAGTGTTTTCCCCTCGGTACCGGAGGCCACAGAGAGGGAGCCAGGTGTGAACACTGGCAGCACCTCCTGTGGCTGCAGCTTGGCTTTTCCTGGCATTTTCTCCTCCATGGTGTATGTGGACAGAAAGACACAGAAACTGGTGAAACAATACAGCAGCTCCTAAGCCAGGCTTTAATCAGCAGCCAGGGGTTCTTGTTCTGCAAGAGAACGTTCTGCGAAGTGACAGGGCACAGAGTCGGTGCTGTGAAGGCAGTGCTAGGAAGCACCGCTCGGACGTAGAGGCTCCCTGCATGGTGGCGGTGTGCACCATCCTGGGTGGTAGGACCACAATTCCCACCCAACGGGTGGTTTTGGCAACACCCTCGGGAGCGGAGCCCCGAACGGAGGGGAGGGACAGGACGGGACGGTTCCCGGGCAGAGGCGGCAGTGACCCCGGGAACGACCGTGCCCTTCTCACCTTCCCGGGGCGTACCCGGCCCCTTTCCATTTAGAGCGGGCCGGCAGATCGGTGGCGGCAGCAGCGGCACAGGGGCGAAGGTGAGCGGAGCTCGGGGGATGCGAGCGGGCGTCTGCCAGCAGGATGCGGCCCCTTTGAAGACTGGTCGCGGGCGCGGCTCTGGCGAGCGACCGGTGTTGTCCCGGAGCCTGGGGACGAGCTGAGCACCGCGGGCACCCCCGGGGAGCTGCGTCCCGCCAGCGGAGCGGGAACGGTCGCGGCACAAGCCGAGCCCCGAAGGGAGTGCGGGCGGGACGGGAGCGCAGGGACCGGGCGGCGGCGGAGTCGGGGACGGAGATGACGATGTTGCAAAAAAGACTGCCTGGACACAGCCAAGTCCCAGGTGTGGGGTCAAACCAACACTGCCTCTGGTCTCACCAGACACCCTGGACCCTGACATTGCCCTCTTACTGAATGCCTTCATCTAAGGGTAAAAACCTGGATGTTAACCCTTCTATTTATGGGGTACATGTCTCTCATTCTTTTAATTTCCCTGATTATCCCTGCCTGCTTTTCATTAACGTGCCTGGGGGTAAATAAAAGTGCTTATCATGATTCCAGCCTGTATTTTCCTTTCCCTTTACAAGCCAAGATAGCAATTGGTAGCATGTTGGCAGTAGGAGCTGCTGCTGTTGTCTCCACTGTCTTGGGCTCGCCCAGGGGCAAATCCAGAGAGGAGTACTGACAGCTTGTCAGGAAGAGCTCAGAGCAAGGCAGGGAGCCTGTGACTGTGGATGGTCATTGCCCAGCTTCTGCCAAAACTGCCATTGGGCCTACTAGCGACAGCCACTCTTGCTGAAATAACCAAAGCAAAGCAGTAATAAAATCTAGAAAACCATCAAAGTAATATTGCCATAAAATCCTCTTTTATGCATTTGAATGTAGCTTTGTGTGCAAGTTAAACACTTCAGCCTTCCTTCTCCCATCCCTTTAGAAAGAGTAAGTTGAGCATCACCATTCAATGTGACCCCAGCAGCACCAGCCTGTTTGCCATATCTGCTTTTTTTTTCATTGCTTATGATGATGTTTTGGTAGTTTGGGAGCATTTGCAAGCAAAGTATCCCTTCCTTCCCTGCCACCTCCCCTCCAGTGCTTTGCTGAGGACTGGTGCAGGCTTTCTACCCACATCCTCTTTTTCTCAGCTGGCTCCTGTGGGCTCTTTCTGTGTATAATGGATTTTAACCTTAACTTTCTGACACAATAAAATAAAAGTATTGCTGAGCATATACTATGTGTCCTCCAGCTGAGGGCCTGTGTAGGTGGAAAACCCCTGGTTCCCAGGCCTACCAAAGGGCAAGCAAGGCATGTAAAGTGTCTTAGAGCTGGTGGCTGCAGTGCCTAAACTGAGCAGCTCCTGGGAGGATGGGAGGTAGGAAGGAAGGGCAGGTCTTATAGGCTGTATCCCTCAGTGTTTTCAAGGACTGCTCTGATTAGGACATTATGGTGTTTTCCTTGGATTTGCCTGCCTGGAGAGTGTCCCTTCACAGATTCATGCCCCAGTTTCTTTCTGTGAAAATCTTTCTGTGAAAGAAACTTCTTTCTTTTTCTTTCTTTTCTCTTTCATCTCAACCTTCAGGTTTATTCCTTTGTTGGCACTGCAGTACAGACTGAACACATGTGAGGCTGGACTGGGCGAAGACTCTATCATTTCATCATGAAAGTTATTTATCAGAGTCCTCTCTTCTCACTCACAGACACACACACACACACTCACATATTCCCCTCTAAGAAGATGATGGCTGACAAGATATGTCTACCAGACCACAGCACAGCCCATTACCATTTAGTCTGGCATGTTAAGAAGACTTTAAACAGATTTATTTACCTTTGATCACCAGTAGCATCCCCTGTTACCAACACAGGCACATAAAATGAATCTGGAAGCGAGCAGCCCTATTAAAAAGCACAATGAATCCAGGACCTGTTGTCCGTCTGGTCCTTCAAAGACTGTTCTGTTTCCAGCACATTATACCTTGTTCTCAGCCTGATCATAATTGGCTTATTAATTAAATAATACTTGAGAGACACCGTGAAATTGCTAAGCATCACTTAAAACCAACAAACATTTATATCTTATTAAACATACAATAGGATATTTTCTAAGTAGAATTAAATTCCTTTACTGTCACCACCTTACAGCATCCAGCTTAGCTGACAGTTAGGGTTATAATACATTTAAAAATGTGAACATTTAAGAAAGAGTAATTATGCAAATAGGCTAATGACATGCATGCAGACAGCAATGGTTCCTCCTCGCATTTTTGGCAAATCAACAGCATATTCCCAGCTAGGTGCACATTGGACACATCTATAAAAAGAGCTTTACATTGTTATACCTTACAGAGGTTTTTTTTTTAATTACATGAACGTATTCTGTCATATACATCCAGGTCTGTTCTGCTGCTTATTTGAGCAGACACTGCCTGTAAGGGTACCTTGGTGGAAATCACTCTGGCACTGCTGTGAGCTACCTGCCTTTTGGTGGGCTCCAAGCCTCTTCAACATGCACCTATTTGGGGGGGCCTCCCTGAAGCACTGGAGGAGGGCCAAGAAGACATTTTACTATGTGCCTGTGGTTGGTCCCACTGGAGGAGTATTTTATTTGTTGATACTCATTAATTTCATCTCATTAATTTGCATCAGATAGTAATTTTCTCTCTGTCCTTTGAGGAGGTATTGGGAATGTGATTCTTCTCCTCTTGCAATGAATTTCTTCTTTCATTCATTATGGCATGATTATCTCTGTGGGGCTGAAGTATCTGATGTATTAACAACTACTAATGAAACCTGGGGGTTGATATGGGGTGTATGACTTGTCCTGGCATCTGCAAAAGATTAATATTTTGAGCTTGGCACCACATGCAGTGCAGAGCTGAAGTCTCTTATTGTATTACAGTAATATGAATTAAATAGTATAATTCTGAATGTAGTCAACTTTAATGTTTACATAGATGTTATTCCTTTAGGATTTCCAGGATCTTTAGGCTTGGAACTGAGATGTAGCCTGACGGGGTTTGAAGGAGTCCCTAAAGACATATGAGTATTGTAGCTCTGATCATGGATTTTGCTTCACGTCATTTACAGAACATAGGTGAGACTTGATGAGCACCTAAGTCAGCAAAGCTTAATTCCAACAGAAGGAGCATTATCCTAACATTTACATGATGAAAGGTTTATTGACTAGGTTAAGAATATTTATTGAACTGTGCTGAGAATGACATAATTGAAAATCCCTGTGCACATTCTCCTAACCCCCTCAGGGTAATTAAGAGCACTCAGGATGCTGCTGACTTCTGTTTGCCTTGAATTAGCAGTGACCTCTGTGGCTACCCCTGCCACAGCAGTGGCCAGGTGCCTTCCCCAGAGGGAAGGAGCTGAGCAGGAAGCAGGGACACCCATTGCACTCTGCCTCCCCAAACACACCAAATGTCTCTCTTGAGCAAAAGGTTGAAGGAGAAAAGATGACAAGATAGTTAAATGTAGAGAACCAGAACCCCTCCAGGACATGGCAGGACATGGCAGCGAGAAGAGCAGCCCCTTTCCTTCTCATGTCTCCTCCCACCCATGCTATGGTATGTTTCTCTGAACATTAAGTATGAGGAACTTGGGTCAAATTTTGTCCCTGAACCAAGATCATGCCTTGCAGTGGCTTGATGTTTAGGGCTAACACTGACTTCTGTGCTCATACACTGCCTGCTTGAACTCAAGTGATGCAAGATCAGAATCCAAAAAATAAAAAAAATACATATTCAGTGTATCTGAGTATTTTCGCTTTCTACTGTTGACAATACATTAATCCTACTTGTTTTTAATGTAGATAAGAAATGCACATTACACAATGGCAGTGTTCAAAAGCCCAAGACAACTGTGAATTATTCAACCCACAGTTTTTCTACCTCCTGCTGCAAACTACTCTAATAAATAGTGAACAACTTGCTATTAGAACAGATAGAGACATCTCCCTGTCAAGGAACCTGCATAGGACCTTGCCGTGTCCAAGTCCAGTGCTGCACCTGGGAGCATTCCTTCATTTACAAAGCAGCTTACATCAATCAGGACAGCATCACAGAGGAGAGAGAACTTTTTTCCCTCTAAAAGA